TTATCCATCTTATTTAGTATTCCAGTATTTAAAACGGATCTTGTTTATTCTAATAGGAGTTCTGATTTTTCAATATGGTTTTGCAAGTATCCTTTAAACACCTTCCAGTCCCTGTCTATCTTCTCTTTTGAGATCCTTCCAATTTCTCCCATTGTTTTGGGTATATTGTAATACTCCAGTAATTTGGCAAGCCACTCTATTTTTGTCGGTATAATACCAGTTTTCCAATTTTTCGCAACCAAGAATCCAATATCTCTACTCAGACCAGGTCTCTCCACAGTTTTCAGTTTAGGAATAAGTTTTTAATTCAGCAACTTCTCTTTCCAGTGTATTTCTGAAATTCTTTTGTAATAAGACAGCTGCTTTGAGATCCCTGTATTGAAGTCCCTAATCCAGCCCGCTGGTCGGTTTAACGCAGCCCTTGCGGCAGTTGTTTATCTCCTGAGACCTCAACAACTTTAAACCTCAAAAAAGCTCAACAGCTTTGGTTGGCCACCATGCATGTTGACTTCATCAAATCTGGCCCTGTTTGAAAAAAGTTTGGGCACCCCTGGAACCAAAATTTATTGTTATTGTTATTGTTATTATGATACCACACACCTCTGGAATCCGAACCCATGTATTTACTTTTTAAACCCTTAAAAACCACCTTAACCCTGGGCAGGTTTGCTCGGAACAGCAGTCTTGCTAAGTTCAGCGGGACTTACTCGGGAGCAAGCGTGCGTTTGGTGCGCAACCTAAAATGCACCCAAGCTTCATTAAGCAAATGGTGACGATTAGAAAGAAGGTCCTTTAATCCTTTAGCAAACTTTTTCAGCAGGGGGCCGGTCCACTGTCCCTCAGACCTTGTTGGGGGCCGGACAATATTTTTGGGGGGGAAATAGTGAATGGATTCGTACGCCCCACAAATAACCCAGAGATGCATTTTAAATAAAAGGACACAATTCTACTCATGTAAAAACATGCTGATTCCCGGACCGTCTGTGGGCCAGATTTAGAAGGTGATTGGGCCGGATCTGGCCCCCGGGCCTTAGTTTGCCTACCCATGCTTTAATGGGTGTTGTTGTTGTTGTTTAGTCGTTTAGTCGTGTCCGCCTCTTGGTGACCCCCTGGACCAGAGCACGCCAGGCACTCCTGTCTTCCACTGCCTCCCGCAGTTTGGTCAGACTCACGTTCGTAGCTTCGAGAACACTGTCCCACCATCTGGTCCTCCGTCGTCCCCTTCTCCTTGCGCCCTCCATCTTTCCCAACATCAGGGTCTTTTCCAGGGAGTCTTCTCTTCTCATGAGGTGGCCAAAGTCTCGGAGCCTCAGCTTCAGGATCTGTCCTTCCAGTGAGCACTCAGGGCTGATTTCCTTAAGAATGGAGAGGTTTGATCTTCTTGCAGTCCATGGGACTCTCAAGAGTCTCCTCCAGCACCAGAATTCAAAAGCATCCATTCTTCAGCGATCAGCCTTCTTGATGGTCCAGCTCTCACTTCCATACATCACTACGGGGAAAACCATAGCTTGAACTATACGGACCTTTGTTGGCAAGGTGATGTCTCTGCTTTAATGGGTAGCAACCCTCAATGCCTACAGCACAAATATTGGGTCCTTTCTGAGAAATATTGGGTCCATTCTCTCACTTCTGACCCTTCTTGATTCCCTCATATCGGGGGTTGGACTAGATGACCCATGAGGTCCCTTACAATTCTACAATTACCTTGTCTACAATCCCGACAGGTTATACCAATAATACTAGCTGATAAACTGCATTTTCCCAGTTGATGTATTTTTTTTAATAGGAAAGGTGTGCGGGCTTGTTTTTGGCTATTTGGAGATTTTTGTTTGGAAATCCTGACATCCAGTGGATGACGATTGCATGACAGCTGAAGTCACACTCACACCATAACACTTAAAAGCCATATGGTACCTTTGCCTGTTTCCCCCAAAGGATTCTGGGAGCTGTAGTTTTTTAGCGGTGGTGCTGAGAGCACTTTGTTGTTGTTTAGTCGTTTAGTGGTGTCTGCCTCTTCGTGACCCCCTGGACCAGAGCACGCCAGGCACTCCTGTCTTCCACTGCCTCCCGCAGTTTGGTCAAACTCATGCTGGTAGCTTCAAGAACACTGTCCCACCATCTGGTCCTCTGTCGTCCCCTTCTCCTTGCGCCCTCCATCTTTCCCAACATCAGGGTCTTTTCCAGGGAGTCTTCTCTTCTCATGAGGTGGCCAAAGTCTTGGAGTCTCAGCTTCAGGATCTGTCCTTCCAGTGAGCACTCAGGGCTGATTTCCTTCAGAATGGAGAGGTTTGATCTTCTTGCAGTCCATGGGACTCTCAAGAGTCTCCTCTAGCACCAGAATTCAAAAGCATCCATTCTTCGGCGATCAGCCTTCTTTATGGTCCAGCTCTTTGAGAGCACTTTGGAGATCTTTATTCTCCACCCAGACCAACACTTCCCAGAGTTCCCTGAGAGGTTTTGGGCATCTGTTTCGAGAGGCAATGGAGTACACCTCCGTGGGTGAAATCAAACATTTTCAGCAGGCACTGAAAAGAAAACAAAGGGGGGGGGGGAAATAGATAGCTTAGGTCTGGAAGTTTGACATTTGTATCATATCTCAGGCCCGTAAATGAAGGTTACCAGACGTCCCCGTTTCCCGGGGACAGTCCCCAGATTTACAAATCAGCCCCCTGAGAAAATCCATCCATTCCGACTGAAGTTGAAAAGCGTCCCCGGATTCACTGGTAAAAAATCTGGTAACCTTCCCGTAAATTTACATTTATTATCTCAGGCCCTTTATTTTAGAGTAGAGTATATCGATTTTAATTGTCGATGGTTAGATGCGTTTTTGTAAACATGGGATGTAAATCTCTCAAAGCAATCAGTCAATATAATTGTCAAAAGTTATATTTTAGAAAGAAAATACGTGTGTTGTTTTTTAAAATAAATAAATTAATAAAGCATTGTGTTCATGCCTTGATGTCAAGGGGCAGCCAGTTCCAAAGTTGTCACAGTAACTATCGTGCAAATTTTGTTTTTTGTTGGTATAAATAAGGAAGCATTAGTTTTGCAATCTGCATTGATCCCAATACAGTGTATCGTTGTTGCTCATAAAGCACAGCCTTAAGGCATCCCCAACCTGCGGCCCTCCAGATGTTTTGGGACTACAACTCCCATGATCCCTAGCTAACAGGACTAGTGGTCAGGGATGATGGGAATTGTAGTCCAAAACATCTGGAGGGCCGCAGGTTGGGGATGCCTGCTTTATAGGGTATTGCAGGGGTCGTCTGAGCAGTTCTCAACCTGTGGGTCCCCAGATGTTGTTGGACTACAACTCGCATCATCCCTGAGCTCTGGCCTTGCTAGCTAGGGGTGATGGGAGCTGTAGTTCAACAACATCTGGGGACCCACAGGTGGAGAAAGGCTAGCGGCCTGTGCTTAAGGCTAGTTTGCATTTCAGCAATTCTGTCCCAATCAAGACACTGTAGCCTCCCTTTTCCTTTGTTTTCTCCTTTCATGTTGTTGTTGTTGTTTAGTCATTTAGTCGTGCCCGCCTCTTCGTGACCCCCTGGACCAGAGCACGCCAGGCCCTCCTGTCTTCCACTGCCTCCCACAGTTGGGTCAAACTCATGCTGGTAGCTTCGAGAACACTGTCCCACCATCTCGTCCTCCGTTGTCCCCTTCTCCTTGCGCCCTCCATCTTTCCCAACATCAGGGTCTTTTCCAGGGAGTCTTCTCCTGAGGTGGCCAAAGTCTTGGAGCCTCAGCTTCAGGATCTGTCCTTCCAGTGAGCACTCAGGGCTGATTTCCTTCAGAATGGAGAGGTTTGATCTTCTTGCAGTCAATGGGACTCTCAAGAGTCTCCTCCAGCACCAGAATTCAAAAGCATCCATTCTTCAGCAATCAGCCTTCTTTATGGTCCAGCTCTCACTTCCATACATCACTACTGGGAAAACCAGAGCTTGAACTATACGGACCTTTGCTGGCAAGGTGATGTCTCTGCTTTTTAAGATGCTGTCTAGGTTTGTCATTGCTTTCCACCCAAGAAGCAGGCGTCTTTTAATTTCGTGACTGCTGTCACCATCTGCAGTGATCATGGAGCCCAAGAAAGTAAAATCTCTCACTGCCTCCATTTCTTCCCCTTCTGTTTGCCAGGAGGTGATGGGACCAGTGGCCATGATCTTCGTTTTTTTGATGTTGAGCTTCAGACCGTATTTTGCGCTCTCCTCTTTCACCCTCATTAAAAGGTTCCTCGATTCCTCCTCACTTTCTGCCATCAAGATTGTGTCATCTGCATATCTGAGGTTGTTGATATTTCTTCCGGCAATCTTAATTCCGGCTTGGGATTCATCCTTCTTATACAGTGGTACCTCAGGTTAAGTACTTAATTCATTCCGGAGGTCTGTTCTTAACCTGAAACTGTTCTTAACCTGAAGCACCACTTTAGCTAATGGGGCCTCCCACTGCCGCTGGAGCCCGATTTCTGTTCTCATCCTGAAGCAAAGTTCTTAACCTGAAGCACTATTTCTGGGTTAGCGGAGTCTGTAACCTGAAGCGTCTGCAACCTGAAGCGTATGTAACCCGAGGTACCACTTGTATGGGCTAAATCTTGGGTTGCAGTGACCCTTCCAAGCCTGCAGAGGGCAGCAGAGGGCCTTGTGCCACAACCACGTGGCTGCAGCAGGAAGTGCCGCGTTGACCATAGAGGTGTTGAACATAGATGTAAGAAATTGTAGAGGAGCATGAATTTCCCCCACCGTCACTTTCAAGAGCACTTGGTTGGAGAAGTAAAGATGAATTGGGATCAGATCAAAAACCGAGCATTAAATCAAGGAGAGGAATGAATGAATGCATTGGTCTCTGAGTGTGGGAGGGGCACAATTATTATTATTTTTTGGGGGGAGGCTTTTTATAGTGATCCAGGAAATGCCATGCCTAGGTGGACGGAAGGGTCATCTCTATAATTTCGTGCCTCTACGGTGCCGGTGGAGGAGAACCTGGGAAGATCCTGAATTGCTGCAATGGTGAGAGCAAAGGATCCCCTTTAAATGAGGCTGGGGGCTTCCCTCTCCATTTGCATGGGAGGGCCAAGGGCGCTGCAAAATTGCAATGGGCAGCAATTGCGGGGGGGGGCGGGAGCAGAGTCCAAAATTTAAGAGGCTTTTGCTGCAAACCCTCCAAAAAAACAACAACCCCCAAATACAGTAAAAGGAAATTTGGAATTAAAAGTGGCGATACCAGCAGCGGCCACCGGAGGGCGCGCGTGCGCACTTTATAAACTTCCTCGTTCTGTTCATTCCTTTCCCATCTAAGCTATTAGTGCCAGCACTGACCGGCAGCAGCAGAGCTTTCAGACAAGCTTTTTTCCCCTTTTTCTTTTTGGCCAGCTTTTCTGCGGGAATTGGAGGTGGGGAGCAAGGAAGGGGTTCGGCCCCCGGCAGCGCACCCGGAAAGGGACATAGGGAACCATTAATGCGCAAATAATAATAATAATAATAATTTATTATCTATAACCCCGCCTATCTGGCTGGGTTTCCCCAGCCACTCTGGGCGGCTTCCGACAAAACACTAAAATACAAGAAACTATTAAACATTAAAAGCTTCCCTAAACAGGGCTGCCTTTAGATGTCTTCTAAAAGTTTGGTAGTTATTTATCTCTTTGACATCTGGTGAGATCTAAGATTCGAATGCTGTACTGACATGTAGGCCAGATCCCTTGCTTGAGCCGACTGAGCGGAGCGTTTCAGGGCGGTAGAGCTCGAAACCATGAGGACCGGAACCTCGGCTCATTTTTATTTGAAGCCGGCGGTTTCTGCACTGCTGGGGGTGGACTAGATGACTGTCGGGGGTCCCTTCCAACCGTACGATTCCGCAATTCTATAAGTCTATTCCAGGTCTCAGATTTGACCCCCAGGAGCCTAGTGCGCCTGTGACTCGGTCCCAAGCTGTTTCTTCCTATTTAAAACTGGGTCTTTTAATTCAGAACAATGAGGACTGGAAACTTGACTTCTGAGCTCTCAGGGAGCAGTTCCAATGTTCTCGGGTTAGGCTAATTGATCGGAGGAGAATTAGCCTTCCCGCTGATGTCGGACTCTGGAGTGGGGGCGGGCGATTATGTCTCCCGACCCATGAAACGCCTGCCAGCGCGGTCCATGGCTGTCCGGGAGTCAAAGCTGGAATGGAGCCTCCATGCACAGGCGCAGTCTGTTGTTGTTGTTGTTGAGTCGTTTAGTGGTGTCCGCCTTTTCGTGACCCCCTGGACCAGAGCACGCCAGGCCCTCCTGTCTTCCACTGCCTCCCGCAGTTTGGTCAAACTCATGCTGGTAGCTTCGAGAACACTGTCCCACCATCTCATTCTCCGTCGTCCCCTTCTCCTTGTGCCCTCCATCTTTCCCAATATCAGGGCCGCCAAGACCACATAACATTGGTCTTGAAAGACCTTCATTGGCTCCCAGGACGTTTCCGAGCAAAATTCAAAGTGTTGGTGCTGACCTTGAAAGCCCCAAACGGCCCAGTATCCCTGAAGGAGCATCTCCACCCCCGTCATCCGGCCCGGACACCTGGGTCCATCTCCCGAGGGCCTTCTGGCAGTTCCCTCGCTGCGAGAAGCGAGGTTACAGGGAACCAGGCAGAGGGCCTTCTCAGTGGTGGCGCCCGCCCTGTGGAACTCCCTCCCGTCAGATGTCAAGGAAATAAACAACTATCTGACTTTTAGAAGACATCTGAAGGCAGCCCTGTTTAGGGAAGCCTTTAATGTTTGGTGTTTCGTTGTTGTTTAGTTGTTTAGTCGTGTCCGCCTCTTTGTGACCCCCTGGACCAGAGCACGCCAGGCCCTCCTGTCTTCCACTGCCTCCTGCAGTTTGGTCAAACTCATGCTGGTAGCTTCGAGAACACTGTCCCACCATCTTGTCCTCCGTCGTCCCCTTCTCCTTGCGCCCTCCATCTTTCCCAACATCAGGGTCTTTTCCAGGGAGTCTTCTCTTCTCATGAAGTGGCCAAAGTCTTGGAAGGGAGAGCTGGACCATAAAGAAGGCTGATCACTGAAGAACTGATGCTTTTGAATTCTGGTGCTGGAAGAGACTCTTGAGAGTCCCATGGGCAGCTAGAAGATCAAACCTCTCCATCCTTAAGGAAATCAGCCCTGAGTGCTCACTGGAAGGACAGATCCTGAAGCTGAGGCTCCAAGACTTTGGCCACCTCAGGAGAAGAGAAGACTCCCTGGAAAAGACCCTGATGTTGGGAAAGATGGAGGGCACAAGGAGAAGGGGACGATGGAGGATGAGATGGTGGGACAGTGTTCTCAAAGCTACCAGTATGAATTTGACCAAACTGCGGGAGGCAGTGGAAGACAGGAGTGCCTGGCGTGCTCTGGTCCAGGGGGTCACAAAGAGGCAGACACAACTAAACGACTAAACAACAACAACAACAACAATAATAATAAGTTATCCCTGGCGGTTGAGAATTGCTGCATCCCAGCCGTATGGGCAAGGTATAAATAATAAAATTATTATTATTATTATTATTACTACATGGCCGCAACGTTCACGACAGCCCTGTAAGGCCGGCTGGCGTCCTTTAAACCCATATTCCAGACTGAGGGCAAACACAGCCTGGCTGGCTGCTCCTTCTCTCCCGCACTAAAGGGTTGGTGTCGGGAGGCGAGACTCGAACCCAGCACCCGCCAGCTCCAATCAGTCAGCGGGGCAGGGAAGGGGGGAAACATTAGCTTGTCTGAGATGGGACACACACAGACCCCAACTGCCGCCCCAGGATGGATGGTTTTCGGCAGGATAGATGTTTCCGCCAAGGCAGGGGCGGTTTGGGCGGCTTGCCACGAAGGCGTTTTGGAGCCCCGTGGCCTGGAAAGCGCATTTAAACTGTCGGTTTTAATTGGGTGGGGGAACGGAAACACCCCCCCCCAGCTGCTGTTGTTGGGCCTGGGGGGTTTGGCACAGGCTGTCAATTTCTCCTGCAACCCACCCACAACTTTCTTTGCAACAGGAGATGGGGGGAAATTTGTCTGTGCATGCCAAAACTGCGTCCTGGAGGTGTCTCTGAATTGATGCCGTCTGCCGCGAGGCCGGCAGTTTGCTGGAGAAACGGGACAGAGACCAGGAAGCCGGCGGGTCTGTGTATATGGGGCATATCTCTTATTTATTTCTATTTTTTAATTAATATTCAACGAGACGATCCTCGTGGTGCAGTCCAGCTCCGCGATCCGGCGAGCCAGCAGCCAGGCACGACGCAAAGGACTTGTTCTTCTAAGGATCGTAAAGTTGGATGGTGTATTATTGTTAAAATTGTTGTTTTGAAATTTCTAATATTTTTTTTTTAAGTTGGAAAGGGGTCCCCGGGGGTCATCCATCCCAACCCGCTTGCAAGGCAGAAATCTCGGCTAAACAGAGGACCACCCAACCTCTGCTTTGAAACCTCAGAGGAAGGAGAATTGTCCACCTTCCCATCCCATCTCAAATGCCTTGGTACTCGAACAACTTGGAACCCAAACACTGCAAACCTAGAAAGAAGTGTTCCGGTTTGTGAACATTTTTTGGAAGCCAAATGTGCTGCGTTTTGAGTGCCACACTTTGGTTTTGAGCGTTACGCTGAGGTCTGTCTGTTTTTGCTATTTATTTTCCGTTTTTGCGGCTCTCTCCGTTTTGTTTTTTTGTGACTGTGCGGAACCCGGTTCAGCTACTGATGGATTGATTGTGTGGCTGCAGTACATTGATTATTGATTTCATTTTGTGGATCAACGGTCTCGTTAGAGAGTCAAATTCGTGTTCAATTGCTGTTTCAGGGGTTGTTTTTAAAATTCTGGAACGGATTAATCTGTCTTGTGTTGCTTTCTATGGGAAAGCAGCGTGCCTCGGTTTTGGAACGCTTTGGTTTTGGGACGCCATTTCCGCAACGGATTAAGTTGGAGAACCAAGGGACCACTGTACAACGGGAGATTAGCCTCTACCCTAAGGTGTTGTGGACTTTGGAGGCGCCCAAATTCGAGGCGAAAGGGGGAAACGATCCGAGAGGAAGGCACGCTTGGCAGATCCTCTCCTGGATAAACTTCCACCTGGAAACCACCATTAAGACCATGGGTCGGCAAGCGAAGGCCCGGGGGCCGGATCCGGCCCAATCACCTTCTCAATCCTGCCCACGGACGGTGCGGAAATCAGCGTGTTTTTACACGAGTAGAATGTGTGCTTTTATTTACAATGCATCTCTGGGTTATTTGCGGGGCATAGGAATTTGTTCATTTTTTTGCTTTCCAAAAAATAGTGTCTGGAGGCGGTTGGAGGATGGATGGCGGCTAACAGATTGAGGCTGAATCCTGACAAGACAGAAGGACTGTTTTGGGGGGACAGGAGGCGGGCGGGTGTGGAGGATTCCCTGGTCCTGAATGGGGTAACTGTGCCCCTGAAGGACCAGGTACGCAGCCTGGGAGTCATTTTGGACTCACAGCTGTCCATGGAGGCGCAGGTCAGTTCTGTGTCCAGGGCAGCTCCATCTGGTACACAGGATGAGACCCTCCCTGCCCGCAGACTGTCTTGCCAGAGTGGTGCATGCTCTGGTTATCTCCCGCTTGGACTACTGCAATGCGCTCTACGTGGGGCTGCCTTTGAAGGTGACCCGGAAACTACAACTAATCCAGAATGCGGCAGCTAGACTGGGGACTGGGAGCGGCTGCTGAGACCACATAACACCGGTCTTGAAAGACCTACATTGGCTCCCAATACGTTTCCGAGCACATTTCAAAGTGTTGGTGCTGACCTTGAAAACCCTAAACGGCCTCGGTCCAGTATACCTGAAGGAGCGTCTCCACCCCCATCGTTCTGCCCAGACACTGAAGTCCATCTCCCGAGGGCCTTCTGGTGGTTCCCTCACTGCTAGAAGCCAAGTTACAGGGAACCAGGCAGAGGGCCTTCTCGGTGGTGGCACATGCCCTGTGGAACGCCCTCCCACCAGATGAAGAGAACAACTACCAGACTTAGACATCTGAAGGCAGCCCTGTTTGACGTATTACAGTATTTTAATTTTTTTTGGGAAGCCGCCCAGAGTGGCTGGGGAAGCTCAGCCAGATGGGCAGGGTATAAATAAATTATTAATAATAATATTATAGTCCAGCCCCCCACAAGGTCTGAGGGACTGTGGACCGGCCCCCTGCTGAAAAAGTTTGCTAACCCCTGATTAAGACCATCATGGAAGACCATCCTCCTCGCCCTAGGAAGAGGAGGACAAACACAGCTGCGGGTTTCGTCTGCGATTCCTGCCTCCCATCGCAAGGGGGTTGACCCTCGGGTGTCCCTCCCAGCCCCCCAATTCTGTGCCGCCAGCCTGCTCCTTTGGCCCAGGCCAGGCTTCAAAACAGCCCAGCAGAAACTTCCTTATGGAGTGCGATCGAAAGCCGGATTTGGCACGGAAGCCAAACCGGACACCGTCCGTTCCAGAGCTCAGGTTTTTGGGGAATGGGGGCAGGAGTTTTAGGTTTGTGGACTTGCCAGCTCAGGGTGGGGGCTTTGTAACCCATATCCCCAACCCCTTCCAGCCCACGATTTGCACGTAATATATATTTATATTTCTCGAAGTGGAACGCAGGCCGCCGTCGCTGAGGGTTCCTTGTTTTGCACACATGCAAAAAAGAGAGACTTTTAAAAATGTTTATTTCTTCTCCTCTTACTTTCTTCCATCGCTTTTAATAAAACAGAGAGAGAGTGAGAGAGAGACTTTTAATGAACCGAAGAGTATACAGAGCCAAGGTCTAGCCGGCGGCAAGAGCCGATTTTGGCAAGGAGAGCATGGCCAAAGCGTGGCAGGAAGATTTAAAGACAATAAAAGAATAACATTTAAGCGTTTCATTGTAGAAATGGTTTTTTTATTTGTTTGCAGAATATGGGTAGATATTCGAGAGCTGCTGGCTGTTCTACAGTTCTCGGCAGACATTGTGCGAATACGAAAGCTCAGAAAAGTGAAAGGCTCTTTGTTCTGTTTGTTCGTCTCAAATTAGACCTGATATAATTTAGTCCTGACGCCTCTCTCTGTGAGTTTCTGTACGTATTTCAGACACGTATGCAAGAGGCTAATTTATAATAGTATTTTGGGAATCACTCACGTTCTTATGGGGCTGCGTGGTTTTATACTTTCTGGGTCAGCTGTGACCACATTATCAGAATTGTCAAATCGGAAGGGACCCCGGCGGTCATCCAGACCAACCCCCAGAGATGCAGGAATCCTTGGCCTAGAGAGCTTTGTGACACTGTCAGGATTCGAACCCTGATCTCCCAGGTCCTGGCCCGACCCTCTCTAACCACTACTCTCCCCCACTGTCTTCCTAGACTTCTTCTGCTATAGGGCAAACTCTATAAATTAAGTAGGCCAGTAAATACAGTGGTACCTCGGGTTACAGACGCTTCAGGTTACAGACGCCGCTAACCCAGAAATAGTACCTCGGGTTAAGAACTTTGCTTCAGGATGAGAACAGAAATCGTGTGGCGGCAGCGGGAGGCCCCATTAGCTAAAGTGGTGCTTCAGGTTAAGAACAGTTTCAGGTTACCTGAGGTACCACTGTACAGGGCGAGCAAAACGTCCCTTAGAGAAGGATCTGAAATATTAGCCATCAATCAATCAATCAATCAATCAATCAATCAATCAGTTCTTTATCGCAGTCCAGAGACCCACAAACGGAACCCAGTACATAAAAATATTCTAATTGAAGCTTGTTTTATTTGATGCTTTATCTGCTTCGATATAGTGGTACCTCGGGTTAAGAACTTAATTCGTTCCAAAGGTCCATTCTTAACCTGAAACTGTTCTTAACCTGAAGCACCACGTTAGCTAATGGGGCCTCCTGCTGCCGCCGCGCCGCCGGAGCACAATTTCTGTTCTTAACCTGAAGCACTATTTCTGAGTTAGCAGAATCTGCAACCTGAAGCGTCTGTAACCCGAGGTACCACTGTATTTTGCCTTTGAAACTGAAAGCAATAAAGAAACGAAATGGAGATAATATTGTCGAGTGACCACGGAAAAAATAAAGGGCGCTTTGACATTCCGTCGAGGAGCGGCCGAAAACCAGGTTCAAGGTGCCGTTTGGCGATTCGTGGATATTATCTGAGTTTTTTTAACGCTGAGAAGACCTGGAGGAAAGGGACGCGGGTGGCGCTGTGGCTTAAACCACAGAGCCTAGGATCAGAAGGTCGGCGGGTCGAATCCCCGCAATGACGGGGTGAGCTCCCGTTGCTCGGTCCCTGCTCCTGCCCACCTAGCAGTTCGGAAGCACGTCAGTGTGCAAGTAGATAAATAGGTACCACTCCGGCGGGAAGGTAAACGGCGTTTCCATGCGCTGCTCTGGTTCTCCAGAAGCGGCTTAGTCCTGCTGGCCACATGACCCGGAAGCTGTACGCCGGCTGCCTCGGCCAGTAAAGCGAGATGAGCGCTGTTACCCCAGAGCCGTCCATGACTGGGAATCTCAGGAGAGGAGAGGAGAGCCGCTCTTGTGATCGAATCCTGCCACGCTACCAAGAGCTTCGGCCCCTCGCTCTATCGAAACGCATCTCCCAAGCTTAATTCTCTTTTTCGTCCATTTGCAGTTGGAAGCGGACGTCCAGACCCTCGTCCACCGCTTCTATGCCCTTCAGAGCGAACGGGTCGAAGCCTACCACCTCTTTGAAGAGTGAGTATCGCTGACCGGTTGGGGTTTTATTTATTTGGGGTGGGGGACATGGCCAGGTTTCCAGAGGAAGAGTGGCTTCCCGTTGAGGTGCCCGATTGAGGCCTCTGAGGATGCCTGGCCTGGACCCGAAGTTATGGGACTACAAAGCCCATCGTCCACTGCCATCTCGGCCAACAGCACTGGATGATGGGTGTTGTAGTCCAACTTCTAAATATGAGCTCTTGTGCAGCGCTCACGGCGACGCATTGGGTATATATATGCGCATCCCACTATGGGGCGTGTTTTGCGCCGCGTCCTACCGTTATTATCCCGCGATCTTATTCTTCCTGCTCTCAACGGCTGTTTATTATTATTGCTTTGTTTCGTTTGGCTGGTTTGTTTTCAAATAAACAACGACAAACAGAGGAAAGGACTCGAAAACGCCAGGATCCCGGCAAGCCAAGTTCACCGTTGGCCGGTTTTCAGGACCCCAGAAAGGTGGTTTCGAGACCCCCTCAAGGACCCCAGCCCCATTCTTTTCTGTGCTGCCCCCAATTTCCGTGCCTCGCCGTCCAACGGGGGAAGGAGGCCCAGAAGGGGTGGGGGGGTTCCCTCCCCGCTTTTTCCTGCCGCACCCAGGGCTTTTTTTGGCTCGGGTGCCCCTGATGAACACCAGATGAGTCGGGCGGGGGGTGGAAAAACCTCCCTCCCTAAACACCTGTCTTCGATTTGCAGAGAGAAGGCGCTCTGGAGCGGGGTCTCTGGGCAGGGGGGCGGTAATTGACTTCTGGGGAATCGAGAACCGAGACCCTCCGGCAACCCCCCACGACTCCGACCGAGCGGGCTGGCTTCCCAACCGCCCCCCTCCCACCAACCCACTTGGCAGGGGTGACGCCCCCCCTTGCCAGGCAGGCTGGTGTGTGTGGGACGGTTCCTAATTCACCCATGCCTCTTGCAAACCCAGCCCAGCGAGGTCACGCCAAAGGGATGGGGGCTTTTTGTAGAATCGTAAGATTTGGGAGAGGGACGCGGGTGGCGCTGTGGGTTAAACCACAGAGCCTAGGACTTGCCGATCAGAAGGTCGGCGGTTCGAATCCCCGCAATGACGGGGTGAGCTCCCGTTGCTCGGTCCCTGCTCCTGCCAACCTAGCAGTTCGAAAGCACGTCAAAGTGCAAGTAGATAAATAGGTACCGCTCCAGCGGGAAGGTAAACGGCGTTTCTGTGCGCTGCTCTGGTTCGCCAGAAGTGGCTTAGTCATGCTGGCCACATGACCCAGAAGCTGTACGCCGGCTCCCTCGGCCAGTAAAGTGAGATGAGCGCCGCAACCCCAGAGTCGGCCACGACTGGACCTAATGGTCAGGGGTCCCTTTACCTTATCTTTACCTTTAAGATTTCGGAGATAGCCCCAAAGGCATCTAGGCCAGCCCTCTGCAATGCAGGGTTTTTGCTTTTGTTTAAATCCCTGTACAGGGCTGCCTTCAGATGTCTTCTAAAAGTCAGATAGTTGCTTATTTCCTTGACATCAGGCGGGAGGGCGTTCCACAGCGCGGGCGCCACCACTGAGAAGGCCCTCTGCCTGGTTCCCTGTAACCTCGCTTCTCGCAGGGAGGGAACCGCCAGAAGGCCCTTGGAGCTGGACCTCCGTGTCTGGGCTGGACTATGGGGGTGGAGATGCTCCTTCAGGGATACAGGGCCATTTAGGGTTTTAAAGGTCAACACCAACACTTTGAATTGTGCTCGGAAACGTACTGGGAGCCAATGTAGGTATTTCAGAACTGGTGTTATATGGTCTTGGCAGCTGCTCCCAGTCCCCAGTCTGGCTGCCGCATTCTGGATTAGTTGTAGTTTCCTGGTCACCTTCAAAGGTAGCCCCACGGAGAGTGCATTGCAGTAGTCCAAGCGAGAGATGACTAGAGCATGCACCACTCTGGCCAGACAGTCTGTGGGCAGGGAGGGTCTCATCCTGCGTCCCAGATGGAGCTGCCCTGGACACAGAATTGACCTGCGCCTCCATGGACAGCTGTGAGTCCAAAATGAACCCCAGGCTGCGCACCTGGTCCTTCAGGGGCACGGTTACCCCACTCAGGGCCAGGGAGTCCCCCACACCTGCCCGCCTCCTGTCCCCCCAAAACAGCACTTCTGTCTTGTCAGGATTCAACCTCGATCTGTTAGCCGCCATCCATCCTCCAACCGCCTCCAGACACTCACACAGGACCTTCACCGCCTGATTTAAAAGAGGCCATTGAGATCCTTTCCAACTCTCCGATTCTGTGCCAGGAGGCACAAAGTCGGGACATTCTGCATTCGGCCCAGACCTCGGTCTTCAAGTCCAGGAAATGGGTACACCGCTGCTTCTCTCAACTGTTTTCTCCCCCCTCTTTCCCGCCAGGGGCCACCGGGCGTATCTCCGAAGCGGCCCCGACTACGACTTCGCCCGCTACCGCCAGCTGGTGCACGAGATCACCCAGGCCTTCAGCGGGATCTCGCGGGAGATCCTACAGATCAAGGAGCAGCTGGAGGGACCCCGCGGGCGGCCTGACCTCGCCCACCACCTGGGGCGCCTCCAGGAGAAGGAGAAAGAGAAACTCGAGCTGGTGAGAGAAAGAAGGGGTGCATGGAGGCCGGTCTCAATTTGCGCCCATTTTACAGATGCAAAACTGATCCCCTTCCGGTTTTGTGCTAGAAGAGTGTTTCGATCGTGTTTCGATCTTGTAATCGGGATCGGTGGTGTCTGGAATATCAGGTGCGGATGTCCCTTGAGAGCTTTGGGGTTTTTTGAGCAGCTTGTGTGTATATGTATTCATGGAATCATGGCATTGGAAGCGGCCTAGCTCAACCCCCTGCAACGCAAGGATATGCAGCCGTCCCTTACGGGATTTGAACCCGCCACCCTGGCACTGTCTCCCATCTGCAACGGATGCTTCGGCTGAAGTTTCCTTCATTGCAGGGGGTTCGACTAGATGACTCTGGAGGTCCCTTTCCAGCTCTAGAATTCTTTAATTCTTACCACGCTGTAACCGGCTGAGCTACCCAGCTCGCAAAAAGCCGGAACGCCCCTTGCGCAATAAACGCATCGTTTATCGTTTCAACGTTTTCGCTTTAACCGCTTTCCGTCGTTTTCACCTTTGTGAACCGACCTGATCTCTCGTCAAATGAACGAATGAATATTATTTATAGTAAAAACGGGGGGAGGGAGAGAAAGTGATAAAAGATGGCAAATCATCAGAGGTGTTGACGGAAGTCTAAAATAGCGTATAAGTTACGTATGTGGTTGTTGGAAATGATGTTAAAAAAACTAATAAAAATATAAAAGGGGGAAAAAGAAAGCTTTAGCAAAAACATTTTGTTAGGTAAATCCTGAAATACTGTCTTATTTCGTTCTATAATAAAACATTTTAAAAAAATATTATTTATAAATGAATATTATTGCATCTATAGCCTGCCTTTGCTCTCAGGGGCTAATTCCCTCTCTCCCTCTCTGCCTTCCCTTTTAATCTTGACAACAATCCTGTAAGGTTGGTTAGTGACCAGCCAGAGGTTGGATTAAAACCCAGGTCTCCTCCTGCCTTTCGGGTCCGGGTCTCTAACCACTGCACGGCACTGCCCCTCTTGCAAACTGCCGCCCCAGCAAACTGGGGAGAGGGGGGGCTGGCGATTTCTGCGCCCCCCTTTCGTCTCCGCCGTGAGGGTCTCACCTCCTCGTTTCTCCCCCCTTCCCAGACGGCTCAGCTGCAGCTTGCGAAACAGAACGCTCAGGACCACCCCGGCGTAGAAGCCCACCTGCAAGAGGTTCGCCAGCTCAAGCACAGGTAAGTGAGGGGGACCCCTGTGGTTGCAAATCGGAAAGAGGGGTGCGGCGCTTTTGCTTTTAAACAACACCCCCCCCCCCCGATTGCATAAACGCTCTCCAACCAGAAAAAACCAAACGCGTTTATTTTTATTTCCCAAAACTCGACCGTAACTCTCAAAGTGTCTGCATGCAGAGACGCCTCTCAGTCCTTGTTTTAAGAGGGGAGTCCTGTTAGTTTCAGGCTTGTTGTTGTTGTTGAGTCGTTTAGTCGTGTCCGCCTCTTCGTGACCCCCTGGACCAGAGCACGCCAGGCACTCCTGTCTTCCACTGCCTCCCGCAGTTTGGTCAAACTCATGCTGGCAGCTTCGAGAACACTGTCCCACCATCTCGTCCTCCGTCGTCCCCTTCTCCTTGTGCCCTCCATCTTTCCCAGCATCAGGGTCTTTTCCAGGGAGTCTTCTCTTCTCCTGAGGTGGCCAAAGTCTTGGAGCCTCAGCTTCAGGATCTGTCCTTCCAGTGAGCGCTCAGGGCTGATTTCCTTCAGAATGGAGAGGTTTGTTCTTCTTGCAGTCCATGGGACTCTCAAGAGTCTCCTCCAGCACCAGAATTCAAAAGCATCCATTCTTTGGCGATCAGCCTTCTTGATGGTCCAGCTCTCACTTCCATACATCACTACTGGGAAAACCAGAGCTTGAACTATACGGACCTTTGTTGGCAAGGTGATGTCTCTAGTTTTTAAAATGCTGTCTAGGTTTGTCATTGCTTTTCTCCCAAGAGCCAGGCGTCTTTTAATTTCGTGCTACAAAAGTAGAAATTAACAATTTGGGGAGAAAGTAAAAGGGGGGCGCAGTTGGGCGAGAGTCATTGTCCGGGGGGGTTAAACTCCCCCCCCCGTGGACCCACTGCCATATCTGTGGAGGGAAGAGTGAGTTGTTGTGTTTTTTGGCCCAGATCCTGTATATTTTGTCAAACAGAGCTCTGACAGAAGTTCAGGAATCTGTGTTGATCTGTCGGAAGACGGGTGGGCTGGTTCTTGCTAGTTTCAGATTTGACCCTAACGTGCATGAAACTCACCTAAAATTGACAATTTAAAAAAATAAATGGATCAGAAGACAAACTGGCTCCCTTTCCTGCCCAAGTCGCCCCGGGGAAACAATTAGATTTAATTTCCATGCCCAACTCCAATTCACGCCCCCTTCAGTCCGTTGGCAATCCCAGTTCATTTCTCACAAAAACGTAACCTTGAGAAAAAGCAAGCTTAAATCTGTTTATGTGGACAGCTCAGTCGGTAGAGCGTAAGGCTGTTTAATCTCAAAGGTCGTGGGTTCGAGTCCCATGCTGGGCGAAAGGTTCCCACATTGCAGAGGGGTGGGCTGGATGACCCTTGGGGACCCTTCCAATAATACAATTCACTGCAAAATAGTATCCTACCCGATAAACTCCCTGCTCTAATATAGCGCCCGTGTCTTTTCTGCCTCAACAAATCTCTCTGAGAAAAGGGGAACATTTCCACATCTCGGGGTGCTCTTTTTGGCCCGACGGGACCTGATCTCCCACAATCCCCCCTGGCTGCAGTCTCCCACAATCCCCCTTGCTTGCAATCTCCCACAATCCCCCCTGGTCGCAAACTCCCACAATCCCCCCTTGCTTGCAATCTCCCACGATCCCCCCTTGCTTGCAATCTCCCACAATCCCCCTTGCTTGCAATCTCCCACAATCCCCCCTGGTTGCAGTCTCCCACAATCCCCCCTGGTCGCAGTCTCCCACAATCCCCCCTGGTCGCAGTCTCCCACAATCCCCCCTGGTCGCAATCTCCCACAATCCCCCCTGGTCGCAATCTCCCACAATCTCCCCTGGTTGCAATCTCCCACAATCCCTCTTGCTTGCAACCTCCCACAATCCCCCTTGGTCACAATCTCCCACAATCCCCCTGGTTGCAATCTCCCACAATCCCCCTTGCTTGCAATCTCCCACAATGCCTTGGGTGGAGGGGCAGAACCGCTCTCTCTCTCGAGACCCAGATCCCTTTACAGGATAGATTTTGCGGGGTGAGGGTTGGTGTGGAGATTCAGCGCCCGGAAAAAAAAACCTGTTTATTTTTGCAGAAGAGGGGTCTTTGGAGAGGTCCCTCCCCCCGATTGCTCTGCTTTGGCTCTCGGGATTTTTGGCTTCCCACGGGCCATTGGATCGCTGCGTTTCATAAACAAGCGGCGAGGGCCGGGGAGGGAGGCGGGCAGGGCCGGGCGGCCCGAGCCCAGAGTGTGCCTAATCGCCTCCATATGCTCCTTTATTTATCGTTTCCATCCTCCCCAACCAGGCTAATTCAAACCATCGAGGCAATCAGCGAAATTCTCCAAGATTTCAAGTACGATTCTGAAGAAAGCTCTTGACGGGACGTCCCACAGGAGGAGGAGGAAGGAGGTTTTTCGGCGGAGGGGGGGAGAGGAGCACCCCCTGCAAGCGAGCAACGTTCGGATCGCTCTCTCTCCCCCCAGCCCCCCTGCCCGCTTCCTTACCCGGTCTGGGTTTTGACCTGCCTCGCACGCAGGCCCCGACGCGAGGGGCTCGGCCGGACGTGCTTTGGCCCTCCGCCCGGCACGAAAGGCTCCAGACCCACGCTGAACGAGCCCAATAAAGACTTCTCCCTAGACTGGGAGGGTTGGCTGGAGCTGGAGATGTGGGGCAAGGGGGTGGGAACGTTCTCCTCGTTCGTTTGGAGTCAATAAAAGCCAGCCTCTTGTTTACTTGAGTGTTTGCGGGACTATTTCTCCATACCCAAATCCTTTCCACCGGGACGTGCAATGGTTGGGCAGGGTGTGGGCGGACGGACAAGGTGGGGAGGCGAAATTTGCCGGCCATTTGCTTGCCCCCGTTGTTAGAGGTTTATTGGCATCCGGGCGTCTTGAGAGGCAATGGAGTGCGCTTCCGGGGGTGAAGCCCAAACGGCTGTGTTAGCAGCACGGAAGTAATGTCCCCGGGGCGCAAGCCAGGTCTTGGAGGTCCTGGGCCGCCCGGCCTCACGGAGAGGGTACTGGCACGGTCCGGTTCGCGGGCTGTCGAAGTCCCGGTGGGGGACTTCAGGACCGGGGGCAAGATGGTGGGGTGGGAGCAGGAATGGGGGTCCAGAAACCAGGAGTCACGAAGTCAGGGGTCCGAGGATCAAGAAGCAAGGAGTCACGAAGTCAGGGGTCTGAGGATCAAGAAGCAAGGAGTCACGAAATCAGGGGTCCGAGGGTCGAGAAGCAAGGAGTCACAAAGTCAGGGGTCCGAGGGTCAAGAAGCAAGGAGTCACAAAGTCAGGGGTCCGAGGGTCGAGAAGCAAGGAGTCACGAAGTCAGGGTCCGAGGTCGAAGCAGAGTCACGAAGTCAGGGGTCCGAGGGTCAAGAAGCAAGGAGTCACAAAGTCAGGGGTCCGAGGATCAAGAAGCAAGGAGTCACGAAGTCAGGGGTCTGAGGATCAAGAAGCAGGGAGTCACGAAGTCAGGGGTCCGAGGGTTGAGAAGCAAGGAGTCACGAAGTCAGGGGTCCGAGGGTCGAGAAGCAAGGAGTCACGAAGTCAGGGGTCCGAGGATCAAGAAGCAAGGAGTCACGAAGTCAGGGGTCTGAGGGTCAGGAAGCAAGAAGCCATATGCAGCAAGGCAGGGAACATGTTGCTGTGGCAAAGTGCCGAAGGGAAATGCTGACCTTACATCCCTTCCCGGCTCTTGCCACCAGGTGCTGTGAGTTACCAATCGACCTCACCTGTGTGGCTGCGCCTTGCCTCTTCAGAACAAACTTAGGAAGGCCCCAGTCCTGCAAAGCCCTACTGGTCACAGGGCCTGGCTCCTGCACGCACTCCTGACAGATGAAAACGGGCACAGGAAGGGAGTGTGGTAGGGGCAGGTCGCCCTGGGTGTTGCCCCTGAGGGGGGCGTGACAACATGCCGGGCGGCACTCACTGCGGAACCTGCAGCGCGCCCGAGCCACGCGTCTCCTGGGAGCGATGCGGTGGCTTGGGGGCCCGCAGGCTCCGTGCTGCCTCAAAACGGTTCACCCGCTGCCTCCCCCTAGCTATAGGGCGGCTGAGTGGGAGGAGGCAGGCAGACTTCTCAGAGGCCCCATGGATTGTGTTGACCCAGACCCCGCGGGCAGTTAGTCCCTCCACTGGGTGCAGGGCACGCGCGCTGCCCCGGGCACCCGAACGGCTTGCTCCACCGCTAGCTCCCCCCCATGCGTGGCTCGCCCTGCCCCCATGGGCATCTCAGCCCATGGGACTCTTGCTGCAGTGACCCCAGGACGCTTGTCCCACCCCCATGGCTCTTCGGCTTTGTGCAGGATTTACTCCTGAGTATTTCTCTTCTCTTGGAAGATATCCCGCAAGGCAGCGGAGATTTAGGCGTTTCTGTGCACTGCTCTGGTTTGCCAGAAGTGGCTTAGTCCTGCTGGCCACATGACCCGGAAGCTGTACGCCGGCTCCCTCGGCCAATAAAGCGAGATGAGCGCCGCAACCCCAGCGTCGGCCACGACTGGACCTAATGGTCAGGGGACGCGGGTGGTGCTATTGGTTAAACCACAGAGCCTAGGACTTGCCGATCAGAAGGTCGGCGGTTCGAATCCCCGCAATGACGGGGTGAGCTCCCATTGCTCGGTCCCTGCTCCTGCCAACCTAGCAGTTCGAAAGCACATCAAAGTGCAAGTAGATAAATAGGTACCGCTCCAGCGGGAAGGTAAACGGCGTTTCCGTGCGCTGCTCTGGTTCGCCAGAAGCGGCTTAGTCCTGCTGGCCACATGACCCAGAAGCTGTACGCCGGCTCCCTCGGCCAGTAAAGCGAGATGAGCGCCGCAACCCCAGAGTCGGCCACGACTGGACCTAATGGTCAGGGGTCCCTTTACCTTTTTTAATTTTTCTTCTCTTGGAAGATATCTCACAAGACAGCGGAGGTTTAGGGTTCAGGGTTTTCCTAGATGGGTTCCTTTAGCAGGCGGACGAGCCCTGCCGGTCCCTCGCCTCCCTCTCCGGCACGGGCAGAAGCCGCGTTCGTGATCTTAGGCCCCGCGATTCGTCGCGTCCGCCCGTCGTTGCAGCTTTTCAGAGGCGGCGTTGTGGGAACTGCAGCAGGTCTTGGGCTTAGGGGGAACGGCCGGGGGCCGATCTCGCTTTGCGATGTCTGCAGTGAAACGAATCACGCAAGGGTAGAACTGCTCTCGTTCTACCTGCTTGCCGGTTTTGCACAGACACCTGGTTGGCCAGCGTCAGGAAAGTTTGCAGGACCAGATGGGCCCCTGGCCAGACCCTGCTGCCTACCTGTGGAACCTCCCTGTCCAGAGGCATTCTATCTGCCTTCCTTGGTCCTTGGGGCTATTTGGCCACTGCAAGGACAGGGGCTTTTTAGGCCCCACATTTTAGGCGTCCTGTGGAACGCCCTCCCATCAGATGTCAAAGCGATAAATAACTACCTGACATTTAGAAGGCATCTTAAGGCAGCCCTGTTCAGGGAAGCTTTTAATCTGTGATATTTTACTGTATTTTTTGTTTCTATGGAAGCCACCCAGAGTGGCTGGGGAAACCCAGCCAGATGGGCGGGGTACAAATAATAAATTATTATTATTATTATTATTATTATTATTTTGGCATGGCCTTGCAGAGCCAGGCAGAGGCCCAGGCCAGGTAGATAATGTGCCCCCCCCTTTCTTTTACCCTGGGGATAACTGAAGTCTTATAAATAAGTATACACCATATTTTTCGCTCCATAAGACGCACCCGACCATAAGACGCACCTCGTTTTAGAGGAGGAGAACGAGAGAAAAAATGTTCTCTCCCTCTCTGCTCAGCGCATCTCCAGCGAAGCGAGAGGAGAAACGGAAAGGGGCTCCGTTTCTCCTCCCGCTTTGCTGAAGGGGCGCTGCGCAGGGAGGGAAAGCTGCGCAGGGGAGAGAGAGGAGCACTCCTGCTGCGCTCAGGAGGCTTCGGGCGGCTATCCCTGAATCCAGGAGAGCCAAGAGGGATCGGTGCGCACCGATCCCTCTTGCTCTCCTGGCTTCAGCGAAAGCGGCGCAGCCTGCATTCGCTCCATAAGATGCACACGCATTTCCCCGTTATAGGAGGGGGAAAGTGCATCTTATAGAGAAAAAAATACGGTAAATGATTTCCACAAAAGTTATGCTGACAAATAACACGGAATCTGCCCACCACCGCCTTTGCACTCCCCTGCGATTGTGAATATGCTGACTGAGGCCACCTTTGGAATCGGAGGCCTGGGCCAAGTGACCCATATGGCGCCCCCTCTCTCTGGACCTGCGCTTTGGCCTCATCCGGAGCCTGGGCTCTTTGGTTTAGAGACATTCCTGGTCTCACTAGCTAGACGATTTCTTACGCCCAGATTCCTGTGGTCTTGGTAAGAATCACAGAATCATAGAGTTGGAAGAGACCACAAGGGCCATCGAGTCCAACCCCCTGCCAAGCAGGAAACACCATCAGAGCACTCCTGACATATGGTTGTCAAGCCTCTGCTTAAAGACCTCCAAAGAAGGAGACTCCACCACACTCCTTGGCAGCAAATTCCACCGTCGAACAGCTCTCACTGTCAGGAAGTTCTTCCTACTGTTTAGGTGGAATCTTCTTTCTTGTAGTTTGGATCCATTGCTCCGTGTCCGCTTCTCTGGAGCAGCAGAAAACAACCTTTCTCCCTCCTCTATGTGACATCCTTTTATATATTTGAACATGGCTATCATATCACCCCTTCACCTCCTCTTCTCCAGGCTAAACATGCCCAGCTCCTTAGCCGTTCCTCATAAGGCATCGTTTCCAGGCCTTTGACCATTTTGGTTGCCCTCCTCTGGACACGTTCCAGTTTGTCAGTGTCCTTCTTGAACTGTGGTGCCCAGAACTGGACACAGTACTCCAGGTGAGGTCTGACCAGAGCAGAATACAGACCCTCTCGGTAAGGAAGGGGGTGCTTTGAGCTCCGACGGAGCCTGCGTAGATTATGGGATTTGGGAAAAGAAGACCATAAGACGCACAGAAACAACTTGGAAACTCGGCTGAGAGACAAACACACAACACACACGTCGTAACATTTATTTGGAGAAGTTCGCAGAATAAAACAAAATCCACGGGACCCCTTTTTTCTGGGTTGGCTTTTATCCCCGTCTCCCAACTCGGAGCTCCTTCGCCATACCAGTCCCCAAATTTCAGTGGTGCCAAAAACCTCCCTGCAGCGCATATATATATAGGGGGAAAGGCAGGGACATTTGCGGATCTCCCTTTTCCCGGATTTCAAAAGGGGAGGCTGGGGGTGGTTTGCCGGTTGGTGGCGGGTTCAGGTGCTGACGCGGCTCCACGCGGTTCTTCCGCGCCCCCTTCTGGGGACGCTGCCCGATTCCTCTGCTCGCCACCCGGGAGAACCGGCCGCCCCACTGCCTTTATTTGTCTTGGGCCCTTTTCCGACGCCGCTAGGACTTATCGCCGGAGAGGACCTGAGAAGGAAAGAGAGACCGTGTGAAATGTGAGGTTGCTGCAAGGTTCGCCTCCGCTGACCTCGTTCCTTGGTGGGATGCGTCAAAATCACGGAACCATAGAATTTCAGCGTTGGGAGGCGAGGGTCATCTAGTCCAACCCCCTGCAGTGGGACTCGAACCCGCGACCCAGGGGTTAATTGCCTCGTGCTCTAGCGACGGAGGCATCCCAGGGGTGTGACCACCGTCGTTATTATGTCTTAAGATGGGAGGATTCCAACATTTAAAAACATGATAAAGGAGAGAAACAACTATTTGACTTTTAGAAGGAATCTGAAGGCAGATTTTCATGTTTGATGTCTTACTTTGTTTTTGTAATTTGCTGGAAGCTGCCCAGAGTGGATGGAGCAACTTCATAATAATAACTAACATTAGTATTTTTAGTATTAATTTTGAAAATGATTTTTTATTAATTTTCAGTTACAAAAAATCCAATGCATGTCACATTGTATCAATACCAAATTACCATTCCAGTTCAAGTATCAATCAATTAAAAAGCCAATTACACATTTTAGATGGCCTTCTGTGTGCCGGATTTCAAGGGAAGATAATTTCATTTAATTCTGCTTCCATAAGGTAAAGGGTAAAGGGACCCCTGACCATTAGGTCCAGTCGTGGCCGACTCTGGGGTTGCGGCGCTCATCTCGCTTTATTGGCCGAGGGAGCCGGCGTACAGCTTCCAGGTCATGTGGCCAGCAGGACTAAGCCGCTTCTGGCGAACCAGAGCAGCGCACGGAAACGCTGTTGACCTTCCCGCCGGAGCGGTACCTATTTATCTACTTGCACTTTGACGTGCTTTCGAACTGCTAGGTTGACAGGAGCAGGGACCGAGCAACGAGAGCTCACCCCATTGCGGGGATTCGAACCGCCGACCTTCCGATCGGCAAGCCCTAGGCTCTGTGGTTTAACCCACAGCGCCACCCGCATCCATAGTCTTACTGAAATGCAATTACATTTCAACTTTCATCATAATCCCCTATACAACAGCTACAATCTTTTTAACTTCCATTCATATTAACACATTTAATAATTTGTATTCCTGCAAGCAAAGTTCTATATCCTTTATTGTTCCTGCTTGTGACGTTCATTTTCTATTTCTGTTTATTTATTTTGCCCGTATTGTTTCTTTTTGCCCTTACAAAACATTATATCTTCATTCTTCCTGGTCTCCATCATGCCCTCTTTATTCCTACTTGCAAAAGGCACGTCATCGAGGAGCTGTGTCTTCCTCCTCGCTTGTTCGCCGTCGGCACGAGCCGATTCGCCATAGGCGATCGGCCGCTTTTGTTTTTTTAACAGTGCCAAATTCGCCGCACTGATCCTTTCTCCTTGCTGCAAGGACAGCTCAGGGGGTGACAGGGGAGATGGACGGATGGGGGGTTGTTTTCCTTACCTACCTGGTTCCGTGTTTTGTGCGACTTCTGGAGCGAAACCCGCCACTGGTCGTACATTTTGATGCTCAGGCTTGCGCAGCTTCCGTGTTTGCGCATCCAGCCAAAAAACTGCTTCAGCTCCCGGCGCAAGGTGTTGTTGTGTTCCCCGCTTTTGGGCTCGCAGACCCCCGGCGCCCGTCCTGAGAAGGTTGGGAGAGGAAGGGGAGAGAAGTAGATAAATTAACTTTATTACCTGGGTTATGAAGGCGCCCTAAGGACATTAAAGCAAAGATTATGGGATAATGCACGCCGTGACTTGCAATCTCGATCACACGCAGTCTGTAGTCCGCTGGCAGTAGGAGTACAATATGGGCATGTCTTTAAGTTAACACCTTACATTAAAACCCTGACAGTACCAAATTATCGGGATGCGGGTGGCGCTGTGGGTTAAACCACTGAGCCCAGGACTTGCCGATCAGAAGGTCGGCGGTTCGAATCCCCGCAATGACGGGGTGAGCTCCCGTTGCTCGGTCCCTGCTCCTGCCCACCTAGCAGTTCGAAAGCACACCAGCGCAAGTAGATAAATAGGTACTGCTCCGGTGGGAAGGTAAATGGTGTTTCCGTGCGTTGCTCTGGTTCGCCAGAAGCGGCTTAGTCATGCTGGCCACATGACCCAGAAGCTGTACGCCGGCTCCCTTGGCCAGTAAAGCGAGATGAGCGCCGCAACCCCAGAGTCTTCCACGACTGGACCTAATGCTCAGGGGTCCCTTTACCTTTACCAAATTATCGAAGGTTATTCACCAAAGCCAGACTAAACGTCTTTCCTTCTGCAGTGTTGAGAGGAGTTCCCAACCAGGACAGACCTTGCTCATGTGCTCAAGACATTGATTCCATAAAACATATTTTGCTGCACTGTGCAAAATATGAGCAAGCCAGGGCTGAACTGATACTACCCTTGCTGGTACCTTTCCCGGGAAAATCAGAGGCTCGCTATGTCAGGTTCCTATTGGAAGACCAGACAAACATTAACAGAGGCGAAGTTCTTATCGGTGGTTGCAAGAACCAATGATCCCTATCTTTTGAACAAAATGTTTGTTTAACCTGGAGGTAGGCTGTCTGAATTGTGCGTTGCTTTGTAACGATTTGTTGGGTCACTGGACCGTAATAAAGATTGATTGATCGATAAATTAACAGGAAGGATTCGAAACCTGCGGGACCAGAGATTCTTAGAAGACTGGTGTAAATATATGAACTGTTTGAAAAGTAATGGTAATGAACGGATCACGCTAGAAGTTTTGTAAGGAGGACTATTTGAAATATTGCAAGAAAGACTCTGAGAAGAACTGTTAGTTAATGATAATCAAGAGTAATAGAGAAATTAAGAAATGCAGAACACCGTATTTTTCGCTCTATAAGACGCACCAGGCCACAAGACGCACCTAGTTTTTGGAGGAGGAAAACAAGAAAAAAAATATATTCTGAATCTCAGAAGCCAGAACAGCAAGAGGGATTGCTGCGCAGTGAAAGCAGCAACGCCTCTTGCTGTTCTGGCTTCTGGGATAGCTGCGCAGCCTGCATTCGCTCCATAAGACGCACACACATTTCCCCTTACTTTTTAGGAGGGAAAAAGTGAGTCTTATAGAGCAAAAAATACGGTAAGTGATGAAGAACGAAAAATCATCAGAGGCGTTGACGGAAGTCTAAAATATTGTATAAGACAAGAAGTTACGTTATATGATTGTTGGAAATGATATGTTAAGAAAACCAGTAAAAATGTATTTTAAAAAGGAGAGGGAGGGGAGAGTCGTGAGGAAGGCAGGAAGGAACTCGCAGGCGTAGCTCAAGTCGGGAGAATGCAAGACTCCGAACGTCAGGGTTGTGGGTTTGAGACCCGTGTCCAGGGCCGGATTTAGGTGTGATGAGGCCCTTAAAAAGTCTGGGAACGGCTACTCTGAACCAGAAAGAGCCAGGCACTCTTCCTTGTAGCGGAAAGCTGCTCCTTCCCCCTTGATCATTTTGACTGCCCTTTGCTGCACCTTTCGCTTTCCCTGCCTTGAAGCGAAAAATCAGGTGTCCCCCCTAGAAACCAGGAAAAGGAGAATGACATCATTTGCGAAAGTCTGGCCTGCGAAGGGTGTGAGCTTTTGGGGACGACTTCCGAGCTGGGAAATAATAACAAGACCTCCAGCCTGGCCCCAAGACAAAATATCCAGGTGCTGGGCATACGAGGAGGCTGGGATTTCTCCAGAGACGATTTCTCCCCATCCCCAAAGCCCGAGTTTGGCACAGGTCCGGTTCTCCGGACGCCTGCTCGGGTTTCTGGGGAGGGGGAAGAAGCGGCCGCGGCTGGGGAGGGACCCCCGAGCGAGGGGATCGCGGATGCAGCTGCGAGCCCCAACTCTGGGGCCGCCGGGGCGAGGGACGGGGCCCACACACCGTTGCGAGGGGTCGAGGCGGCCGTAGGGTTGCTCCATTCGCTCCAGATACCGGCCTTCTTGGAACCGTAGATGCCAAACGGGTTGCAGCGCACCTGGACGAAGTAGACGGTGCCGGGCCTCAGACCCGCGAGCCGGCATGAGGTTTGGTTGCCCACGTTGTCGACCACCTGCGGCGGGGGAGAAAAAGGCGTCGGAAAGGGGGCCTTTTTTCCAGGACGGAGACATGGCCAGCTTTACCTGGAAATGTCGGGGGTTGAGGTCTAGGTGAAGCAAGCATGCCCAGCCCCCCCAACGTTTCTCCCCTGAAAATAGGGACGTCCTATTCCATCCCCTCCAACGTTTCTCCCCTGAAAAGAGGGACGTCCTATTCCATCCCCTCCAACGTTTCTCCCCTGAAAAGAGGGACGTCCTATTCCATCCCCTCCAACGTTTCTCCTGTGGAAATAGGGACATCCTATTCCTTTCCCTCCAACGTTTCTCCCATGAAAATAGGGACATCCTATTCCATCCCCTCCAACGTTTCTCCCCTGAAAATAGGGATGTCCTATTCCATCCCCTCCAACGTTTCTCCCCTGAAAATAGGGACGTCCTATTCCATCCCCTCCAACATTTCTCCCGTGAAAATAGGGACGTCCTATTCCATCCCTCCAACGTTTCTCCCATGAAAATAGGGACGTCCTATTCCATCGCCTCCAACGTTTCTTCCCTGAAAATAGGGACGTCCTATTCCATCCCCTCCAACGTTTCTCCCCTGAAAATAGGGACGTCCTATTCCATCCCCTCCAACGTTTCTCCCCTGAAAATAGGGACGTCCTATTCCATCCCCTCCAACGTTTCTCCCCTGAAAATAGGGACGTCCTAGTCCATCCCCTCCAACGTTTCTCCCCTGAAAATAGGGACGTCCTGTTCCATCCCCTCCAACGTTTCTCCCCTGAAAATAGGGACGTCCTATTCCATCCCCTCCAACGTTTCTCCCCTGAAAATAGGGACGTCCTATTCCATCCCCTCCAACGTTTCTCCCATGAAACATGAACTGGATAAAATCAGAAACCAGGGCGGCTTCTCTAAATCAGGGACGTCCCTGGAAATTTGGGACGCTTGGAGAGTGTGCTTTTGCCCCCAAACATTTTGGGTTTAGCTGGCGCTGCCTGCCATTGGCTCTTCTCTCCGCACATCACTGCCTCTGGCTCCGCCCCCCATTCGAATGCCCCTCCCGTCGCCCCCCCAAGGAGTTTCCATGGGCGCCAGGCCCCCGCCGGTGGGCGAGACCCTCACCTTCCACTCGGTGCTGTCCTCCACACGATACTGAATCTGGTACTTGGCTTGGAAGAGGAAGTCCTTTAGGGCCGGAGGGGCACTCCAGCGGACACTTAGCTGGTCCTCAAGGTCGCCGACGCGGTTGACGTGGACATCCGAGGGCGGGTCGGTCGTGACTGTCGGGGGAGCGCAACAGGCAGTGCCAGATTTATGTATAAGCTAAACAAGCTATAGATTAGGGGCCCTCTCTCTTGGGGGCCCCAGAAAAATTTAAAGGGGAAAAAACCTGGATGTACATTTCAAAAAAATCACAGTTAAATTGCTGTTTTAGGGGTTGTTTTTAAAAGTCTGGGACGGATTAACCCGTTCTGCATTACTTTCTATGGGTCTTGGTTTTGGAACGCTTTGGTTTTGGAACGGACTTCCGGAACGGATTAAGTTTGAGAACCAAGGGACCACTGTATTCTTGGAAAATATGTGGACCGGATGGTTTGTCTCGCTGAGTTACCGTTAAGTTTCCATTGCGCAAAAAGTGCTCAGATGGTTCCGTTCCACCGTGTAAATATTTCCTTTATTTTCTAAAGAATGCAAATTCTCCCCCCTCCCCAAAAAAAATAATAGTTCGATTTCGTTGTTCTTTTCAGTTCCGTTGTTTTGTATGGGCAATGACAATAAAGATATTGTATCGTATAATTGTTGCAGATGAAACTGAGATATCTCCAGACCAGGGTTCTTTTTGCCTTTTAAGGGAGTTAACCTTGCTTCTCGCAGACATGGGACCTACACATCTCCTCCGCCTATGGGGCACGGCGATCGCACGTGCAGGATTTGACCTTGGCGGGAGTCCAGGCACAAAGGGAAAGGGTTAAGGAGAAGCAGATGTCTGGAAGGAGCCAGAAAGGGAGAGTGAGATCCAGGAGAGAGAGCTCCTAATTAAATTAAGAGACCAATTCCGCTCACATACAATATATTTCCTGCTTTCGCCTCTCCGGGACGCCCGAGACAATCCCAGTTTCTCTCCCCCCCCCCCCTCGTTTCCTGGCTCTGCTAATGAGGTCATCGACTCCCCTCCGCGTGATGTCACAGGTGCCCGCAGTGACATCACCACACCACGGAAGGCGGCGAAAGTGGGTTTTACGGGCTCGGGAATCGACGGGAAAGCCAGGCGTCGAAATAACATTTTGCCTCCGGCGGCGTTTAGCTGGGATTATCGGCGTGCGATTTCCACATGGAGAAGACGGAGGCTGAGACACGATATGGGAGTCATCTTCAGATATCTGAAAGCTTGTCTCCAGCCGCTCCAGACGGTTGTTGTTGTTCTAATTATTCTAATTATTTTTAATTCTTTATACCCAGCCCCAATCTGGCTGGGTTTCCCCACTGGCTCTGGGCGGCTTCCAGCAAAATATTATAAAATAAAATAAAATCCAAACATTAAAAAAAAACTTCCCGATACTTCTTCAGATGTAGGACCAGAATTGAGGGGTTTAAATGTCAAGAAAGGAGATTCGCCTTGAATTTTAGAAGGGAATTTCTGACCGTAAGAGCTTGTTTGACGATTGTAGAAAGTGGTGGAACTTTCCTTCCTTGGAAAGTTTCGGGCAGACAGTTCAGGGACTCTCCAGCTGTAATCCCAGCATTGCAGAGGATTGGACTAGATTTCCTCCAGGGGTCCCCTTCAACCCGCTGCTGATCTCCACCCCCCCATAACCTGATATCCCGGTTATGACATTTGAACCAGCGGAGGACTTGCAAGAGATTTCTGATCGCCAGCAACAGAACTTGCAGATTTCTGCAAAAATGTTTTATCTTTCCTTTTAAAAATAAAAATAAAAAAGAAAGAAAAGATCTGCTCTGATTCTCCTCCACTAGCGATATATATATATATATCGCTCTATAAGACTCACTTTCCCCCTCCTAAAAAGCAAGGGGAAATGTGTCTGCGTCTTATGGAGCGAATGCAGGCTGCGCAGCTATCCCAGAAGCCAGAACAGCAAGAGGGATTGCTGCTTTCACTGCACAGCGATCCCTCTTGCTGTTCTGGCTTCTGAGATTCAGAATATTTTTTTTCTTGTTTTCCTCCTCCAAAAACTAGGTGCGTCTTGTGGTCTGGTGCGTCTTATAGAGCAAAAAATATGGTGATTCGTTCCGGAGTTCTGTTCTTAACCTGAAACTGTTCTTAACCTGAAGCACCACTTTAGTTAATGGGGCCTTCTGCTGCCACTGCGCCGCCTGAGCACGATTTCTGTTCTCATCCTGAAGCAAAGTTCTTAACCTGAAGCACTATTTCTAGGTTGGCGGCGTCTGTAACCTGAAGCGTATGTAACCTGAAGCGTGTGTAACCCGAGGTACCACTGTATACAGAGCTGCCTGTTCCTGATAGGGGGAAAACACACATTTTTTACGTGCAGAAACTCACTAAGATGGTTTTCTGGGAATGAACAGCCCATAACCCGCAACAGAAGCACCGTCTCTGGATGAAAGAGCTTGCGGGACTTCCTTACCTACGTCCACGATGTCCAGCATGACCACGTCGGACGTGGATTCCCCCAGCCGGTTGGTGGCTACGACCCAAATCTCGTAGGGCGTGAAGAGTGCCAGATCCTTTGGGATGTGGCAGGTGTAGGGCCCGGCCGTGTGATATTCCCGGCAGACGTTGTCTCGCCCGTACCACCTAGGAGGGAAGTGCCAGGATACCATTGCCATGGGATGTGATATGGAAATAGCAGCCAAGTACAACAACAACATTAAATGGGACGTGGGTGGCGCTGTGGGTTAAACCACAGAGCCTAGGACTTGCCGATCAGAAGGTCGGCGGGTCGAATCCTCGCAATGACAGGGTGAGCTCCCGTTGCTCGGTCCCTGCTCCTGCCAACCTAGCAGTTTGAAAGCACGCCAGTGCAAGTAGATAAATAGGTACCACTCCATCAGGAAGGTAAACGGCGTTTCCGTGCGCTGCTCTGGTTCGCCAGAAGCGGCTTAGTCCTGCTGGCCACATGACCCGGAAGCTGTACGCCGGGTCCCTCGGCCAATAAAGCGAGATGAGCGCCGCAACCCCAGAGTCATCCGCAACTGGACCTAATGGTCAGAGGTCCCTTTACCTTTACAACATTAAAAAGAGGAAATAACCTTGGGCGCTTCAGAGATAGACTGCCTCTGAACCCGGAAGCTGCATTTAGCATCCTGGCCAACAGAAACGGATAGAGCGACTCAATTGATCCAACTACCGTATTTTTCGCTCTATTGGACGCACCGGACCATAGGACCCCTCGAAGTCAAGGTGCGTTCTGTTCGTTCAAGGTACATTCACCTGAAGCCTCCGGATTGCTTTCGACCTGCTCTTTGGGGCTGGCAGGGGGGAGCGCTGCTTTCCCCCACCACCAGCCCCAAAGACCAGGTCGGGGAACAGCGGGAAGGCGGCGCTCCACCTCCCCGCTGTCCCCTGAGCTTGTGGGGCTGGCGGTGGGGAGAAGCGCTGCTTTCCCCACCGCCAGCCTCCAAACCAGGTTGGGTTTGGAGGCTGCTATCCGCAAGCCTTGGGATCCCGCGGGAACTCCTGCCCGGCTCCCAAAGCTTGCAGATATCTGCCCGAAGCCCGGGGTGCGCTGCGCACCGCTCCCCGGGCTTCAGGCTGCAGGCTGCTATCCACAAGCCTTTGGAGCCCGGCGGCAAGCGAAGGCTTGCGGATAGCTTCCTGAAGCCTGGAGAGCGAGAGGGGTCGGTGCGCACCAACCCCTCTCGCTCTCCAAGCTTCAGCGAAAGCCTGCATTCACTCCATAGGACGCACACACATTTCCCCTTCATTTTTGGAGGGGGAAAAGTGCGTCCTATAGAGCGAAAAATACGGTAATCCTTGGATTTTTGTCTCACCTGGGAGGCATCTGCACCCTGCCAGGCTTAAAGAGAGCTTCAGATCCTTTGCCGGGCCAAGCCCCCGCCTCCTCTCAGGACCTTACCTCAATTTGTACTTCAGGGTATAATTGGTGTGCAGGTAAGTCTCTCCCTCTGTCCCAGGGGTCCACCGGCAGGTGAGGTCCTTTAGATTTTTGGACCAGCAGGAGATGTTCGTCGGTTTCTCTGGCGGCACTAGAGGATGAAAATATAGAATGAGGATGATGATGATGATGTATTTATACCCCGCCCATCTGGCTGTGTTTCCCCAGCTACTCTGGACGGCTCCCAATAGAATATTTAAATCACGATAAAACATCAAACTCTTCCCTAAACAGGGCTGCCTTCAGATGTCTTCTAAAAGTCAGGTAGTTGTTTATTTCCTTGACATCTGGCGGGAGGGCGTTCCACAGGGCAGGTGCCACCACCGAGAAGGCCCTCTGCCTGGTTCCCTGTAACCTCGCTTCTCGCAGTGAGGGAACCACCAGAAGGCCCTCGGAGCTGGACCTCAAAGTCCGGGATGGACGATGGAGGTGGAGATGATTCTTCAGGGATACTGGACCGTTTAGGGCTTTCAAGGTCAGCGCCAACACTTTGAATTGTGCTCAGAAATGTCCTGTGAGCCAATGCAGGTCTTTCAGGACTGGTGTTATGTGGTCTCGGCGGCCGCTCCCAGTCCCCAATCTAGCTGCCGCGTTCTGGATTAGTTGCAGTTTCCGGGTCACCTTCAAAGGTAGCCCCACATAGAGCGCATTGCAGGAGTCCAAGCAGGATATAACCAGAGCATGCACCACTCCGATGAGACAGTCCGCGGGCAGGTAGGGTCTCATCCTGCGTACCACATGGAGCTGCCCTGGACACAGAATGGACCTGTGCCTCCATGGACAGCTGTGAGTCCAAAATGACCCCCAGGCTGAGCACCTGGTCCTTCAGGGGCACAGTGACCCCATTCAGGACCAGGAAGAGACAAGTGTGATGTTAACAGGGAAACAGACATGCTTAGCTCATGAAAAAGAACAGCCTGTTTTGCGAGGGGAAACAGAAACTCTTCTCTTGCTTGGCACAGTAAAATGTTTAAACCTTGTCCTCTGGGTAGCAACGATTTGGACCGGGGCGTTTGTGTGCCGCTGCGGCAGGGTGGGCGTTGGAGCAAAATCTTTCCCTTTTCCCAGCCGGAGGTTCCCATCTTCCCGAGTGGAGTATCTTAAAAATAGCTTGCGATAAAAATCTTACGAATATTGATTTGGACAACTGCAATTTGGCAGCGTCCCGCCAAAATAGCTTTTTCCCGGGGAAACGAGCCCTTGTTGGCTAACGATGGCAGGCCTTGCTACGAAACTCCGGAGACCACAAAGCGTTTTTATTACCCAAAGGCCTGGGAAGAAACGGCCAGGGCGTGTTAGCGTGGGAAAAGGGGGCTGATGGGAGAGGTTGGATCTGGAGGTGGTTGTTTGATCCAAATGCGGCAGAAGGCGGAATCGGGATTCAAAAATGGAGACTGGAGAACTAAATGAATTTCAGCAGGGACAAACTTCAGGTTCTGCAATTAGGCAGGAAGAATCAAATGCACAAATATAAAGATGAGGGGATGGACATCTGGCTTACTAGCAGTACATGGGGAAAGGATCTGGGGGTCTTAGTGGACCACGAGCTGAACGTGAGCCCACAGTGTGATGCAGCAGCAAAAAAGGCGAATGCTATTCTAGGCTGCATCCACAGAAGTCTAGTGTCCAGATCAAGGGAAGTCATAGTCCCAATTTATTCTGCTTGGGTCAGACCACGCCTGGAATACTGTGTCCAGTTCTGGGCTCCACAATTTAAGGAGGATGTTGACAAGCTGGAAGGTGGGCAGAGGAGGGAGACCGAGATGGTCTGGAAACCAAGCCTGATGAGGAACGGTTGAAGGAGCTGGGTACGTTTAGCCTGGAAAAGAGGAGACGGAGAGGAGATACGAGAGCCGTCTTCAAATATCTGAAGGGCTGTCGCATGGAAGAGGGAGCAGGCTTGTTTTCTCCCGCTGCGGAGGGCAGGACTCGAACCCGTGGCTTCAAGTGACGAGGGAGGAGATTCCAACTCAACATCAGGAAGGACTTTCCGACAGTGGGATGGAAGGCGGCAAACTCTCCTTCCTTGGAGGTTTTCAAGCAGAGCTTGGGTGGCCATCGGTCAGGGATGGTTTAGCTGAGATTCACACATGGCGGGGGGTGGGAATAGATGAGCCCTGGGTGTCCCTTCCAACTGTACAATTCTGTGATTCTGTGATGCAATCCCATCACGGTGGACAGAAGGGAATTGTAAGCAATTGCATGCCCTTCCACTGTCCCGATTAAATTGGGACATCCCATTTTTGGGGTCTGTGCCCTTGCGTGGTCATTTGACTCGTACAGAAGCCCTTAAGACACGCAGCTGTCAACGTTTCCCTTTTCTTGCGAGGAATCCTATTCGGAATAAGGGAATTTTGCTTTAAAAAAGGGAAACGTTGACAGCTATGGTTGGAACGCATGTGGTTCGACGTCAGCTGCAGAGCAAGCAATGTCCACCCCTTTGCTGTCATGAATTTTCACAGCATCTGTTGATATCGGAGGCATCGTTTTGCCAACAATACACGGCTGTTGGGGGGGATGTTTAACAACCTGAGGTCCGCATTCCATTCTGGGCAGAGTAGTGCTGGGGGCCAGAGGCTAAAGAAGGCAGGGCGCCGGGTGCGAATCTTACCTTGACGCAACAGGCTACTTTCTACAACCTCTTCCTCTCTCACACTTCTCCGACGTGGTCAGAGTTACACACTCAGGCAAAGCGTGGTGCAAATTTGGTGAGGGGTAGGGCCTACGGAGAGCGGCAAGGGTCAAACAGAGAGACCCCGAGGGCTGCATTTTGTCAGGCTGATGCAAAAGCAAGACTAGGGCGCCCCAAATTTTGCAGAAACACAAGGAAATGTTAGGGGTCCCCCCCCCACACCCATTTGCAAGCAGAGGGTCACAGACTCGGCCATTGAAGATCCCGCCGGACGGTGGAACGGAATGGAGTTGCCTAGAAAAGGGCAAGGCCGGCTGGCTGGCTATACTACAAAATTTTGTTGCAGGAGGAGGGGGAGATTTTTTCCCCAGACGTACATCCTACGTAGAGACAGGATCCGGCCAAAATCCCTCCGCCTTCCTTGCTGTGGCAGACCAAGTTGTCCCCCGACTGCTGCTGCGATCCGTTCAAGTTAGAGATCGTGACACCCAGGGTGTTGGAGCTGAGGACCTTGTACGTCTGTGCCGGGAGCCGCCGGCCGTTCAGAGTCCAGTAAAGGTCCTCGGCTCGCAGGCTCGAGTCGGCGGCAACCGAGCAGTTGGCCGTGAGCGAGGAGCCGATGCGGAGAGTCGGGTCTTGGGGGAGGATGATGGCCGGGTCTGCAAGGGAAAGGAGCAGAGAGAGAGAAAAAAAATTGGGCAAGGAAGATCAGGACCAGGTGCTCAGCCTGGGGGTCATTTTGGACTCACAGCTGTCCATGGAGGCGCAGGTCAATTCTGTGTCCAGGGCAGCTCCATCTGGTACGCAGGATGAGACCCTCCCTGCCCGCAGACTGTCTGGCCAGAGTGGTGCATGCTCTGGTTATCTCCCGCTTGGACTACTGCCATGCGCTCTCTGTGGGGCTACCTTTGAAGGTGACCCGGAAACGACAACTAATCCAGAATACGGCAGCTAGACTGGTGACTGGGAGCGGCCGCCGAGATCACATAACACCTATCTTGAAAGACCTGCATTGGCTCCCAGGACGTTTCTGAGCACAATTCAAAGTGTTGGCGCTGACCTTGAAAGCCCTAAACGGCCCAGTATCCCTGAAGGAGTGTCTCCACCCCCATCGTCCAGCCCGGACACCGGGGTCCATCTCCCGAGGGCCTTCTGGCGGTTCCCTCCCTGCGAGAAGCGAGGTTACAGGGAAGCAGGCAGAGGGCCTTCTCGGTGGTGGCGCCCGCCCTGTGGAACGCCCTCCCATCAGATGTCAAGGAAATAAACAACTACCTGACTTTTAGAAGACATCTGAAGGCAGCCCTGTTTAGGGAAGCCTTTAATGTTTGATCTTTTATCGTGCTTTTAATATTCTGCTGGGAATCCCAGCCAGATGGGCAGGGTATAAATAATAAATTATTATTATTGCTCAGCTCCCAAGCCATATCCCAGGACGTTCTCGGACGTACAGGGCGTCCCTCGCTTTGCAGATTGTTTCCATCGCTATTCCACCGTACGTATGTCTTTCATGAGATTTGTTCCTCGCCGGGTTGCCAGAACGAAACAAAAACCTCAGAGCGGTTTACAAAGACAAGATCTCTTGACCGAAAGCTCAGGAGACACCCTATTCCTGCGACTGCAATTTGTTCTTTAATTCTGGATTTCGGAAGGTCAACCAGATGTTTTTTTAACATCTGCCGCTCTGGCAGATGTCGACAAACGCGTCGGTTATATTTGCACTAGGTGCAAGGAAGATCGGGGCAACCTTTTTGGGGAATGTAAGTGCCAAAGCCCAGGATTAGGCTGACCAGAAGGGATGTTTTTTGAAATTCTGGGCATTGTAAATTTGTCTTGGTCTGGCGCATGCGTGCAAAGCCTTCTGTTCTGTAGCTTGGTGATTTGTGCTTATATGGTCTCGCCATGGCCATTGGCTGTAAACAATTAAAAAAACCCCAAAACTGCTGGTATTGAAATTTTAAAATACAGGTGAAACTCGAAAAATTAGAATATCGTGGGAAAGTTCCTTGATTTCAGGAATTCAGCTTGAAAGGTGAAACTAATATATGAGATCGACTCGTGACATGCAAAGCAAGATATGTCAAGCTTTGATTTGTGATCATGGCGTGCAGCTGGTGAAAACCCCAAATTAACCATCTCAGAAAATTAGAATATTCAAGGAAATCAGCAAAACAAGGGTTGCAAATCGAGCAAGATTGGACCTCTGAGAAGCAGAAGCACATCGCGCTTTGCATGTCACGAGTCGATCTCACCTATTAGTTTTACCATTCAAGTTGAATTCCTGAAATCAATGAACTTTCCCGCGATATTCTAATTTTTCGAGTTTCACCTGTATTGCAACCCACCTTGGGACCTGCTGGCGAAGGGTGAGTTATTTTGGAGCTAAAAGGGACCCTGAAGGTCATCCAGCCCAACCCCAAAGAAATGCAGGAATCTTTTACCCAACTTGGGATTCGAACCCATGACCCCTGAGATGAAGAGTCTCATGCTCTACCGAATAAATGAATTAATACTACTCCTCTTTTATTACGTTTATTATATGCACTTTAAATGTGCTTTAAATGTACGGTTTGGATTAATAAGAATAAATAAACAAATATTAGCAGTAATAAATATTCCAAACCGTACCTTGAAAGTATGTTCTCCCCTTTCACACACACATACACATGATTTTATAATTTACATTTCAAAATATTTATTTAAACAACCTTAAATCAATGGCTTTCCTTATTCTCTGCTTATCATCCATCCCCGCATATTTTACATGAAAGGAACCATTCAGTAATCCATTGTTACATCCATCAAAACTTATTTACGCTGCTGAGTTTATCTTAATGGTCAGTGAACACAATTTTCAACCATATATTCAATCAACGTTTCCCATCCTTTTTTAAACGTGCTTTCCCAACATCAGGGTCTTTTCCAGGGAGTCTTCTCTTCTCCTGAGGTGGCCAAAGTATTGGAGCCTCAGCTTCAGGATCTGTCCTTCCAGTGAGCACTCAGGGCTGATTTCCTTCAGAATGGAGAGGTTGGATCTTCTTGCAGTCCATGGGACTCTCAAGAGTCTCCTCCAGCACCAGAATTCAAAAGCATCCATTCTTCGGAGATCAGCCTTCTTGATGGTCCAGCTTTCACTTCCATACATCACTACTGGGAAAACCAGAGCTTTAACTATACGGACCTTTGTTGGCAAGGTGATGTCTCTGCTTTTTAAGATGCTGTCTAGGTTTGTCATCGCTTTTCTCCCAAGAAGCAGGCGTCTTTTAATTCCGTGGCTGCTGTCACCAACTGCAGTGATCATGGAGCCCAAGAAAAATCTCTCACTGCCTCCATTTCTTCCCCTTCTATTTGCCAGGAGGTGATGGGACCAGTGGCCATGATCTTCGTTTTTTTTTATGTTGAGCTTCGGACCGTATTTTGCGCTCTCCTCTTTCACCCTCAACAAAAGGTTATTTAATTCCTCCTCACTTTCTGCCATCAAGGTTGTGTCACCTGCATATCAGAGGTTGTTGATATTTCTTCTGGCAATCTTAATACTTGGAGGCTCAAAAATGAGATCATGGTATCATCGAATTGTAGATTCAGAAGGGACACCCAGGGTCATCTAGTCCAACCCTCTGTATCTTCAACTGAAGATGCCCCCCCAGATTAAAAGTGGGGAACCTTTGGCCCTCGCGATGTTCCTAAGCTATGACCCCGCAAGTGTGGGGTGCGAGTTGTAGCCATCAACATCTGGAGGGCGAAAGGCGTCTCAGACTAGGGAGAGACACGAGTTCGAATCCAGCTCAAGTGGGTGGCTTTGGGGGCCGGTCACTGCCTCTCAGCCCAACCTACCTCGCAGCATTGTTGGGGGGGTTTAAAGGGGAGGAGAGCATATCACAGCCCACCTCGAGCTCCTTCGGAGGAAACGGCAGGATGTAAACATACAGAGGTTTCTTTCGATCTTGCGGGATGCCAGCTTCCACCGCCGCTCGGAGTCTGACAACATCTGGAGGGAAAGCGCCGATTCCTCTCCCCCCCAACCCCCCCCATGCCCTGATCCTTTGCAAGGCTAATTGATCCTTTGGTGGGAATACGGCCCGCAACATCTGGACCCACTCAGCGAAAGGGCAACCAAATATTGAGGTAATTGGTTCCGTCTGCGGAGAGCCAAGACGAATTCTGCTGAGTGTCCGTAGCAGCAGAGGGGAAAACCTCCTCCTTAGTTGTTCCGGTTGTTCCATTCAGTTTAGTATTGTCCGCACGGGCTGGCAGCAGACCCGCGAGGGTTTCAGGCAGGGTGCCCCTAGCCAACCCTGTCTGGGGACGGCGGGTTCTGAACCCGGGGCTTTCCGCATACGGAGCAAAAGCTCTACCCATACAAAGTGGCGATTCTTCCCTTAAAAACAAAGCAAGATTCTAGTCCTCATGGGGTTGGCAGTCGTCCCCTCCCCCCCAGATATGTCCTCTTTTTCATGGGTAAAACGAGAGTCGTCATAGCAATCCAGTGTTAAAACTTGGCCATTGTGTCCTCTTTTTTATTCAAAATATGGCAACCCTAGCTGGGATGTTTGGGGAGGACTAGCACCCTCTGGCGGGGGCACACCATGCTCCTTCTGGGGTCAATTTTGGCCCCTCATCCTGCACTCAGATCTGACCTGTGGTTTCTAGAAGCTGCCGGCATGAGATGGCGGCCACAATCCCGGGAAACGGCTTCAACTGGCTGGCTAAACCAGGTGAAGGCAAGCCGATGGGTCTCAAACCCTCAGTGAGTTAGGGCAGGGGTCCGCAAACTTTTTCAGCAGGGGGCCGGTCCACTGTCCCTCAGACCTCGTGGGGGGCAGGATTATATTTTGAAAAATAAATAAATGAACGAATTCCTACGCCCCACAAATAACCCAGAGATGCATTTTAAATAAAAGGGCACATTCTAATCATATAAAAACGCTGATTCCTGGACCGTCCGCGGGCTGGATTGAGAAGGCGATTGGGCCGGATCCAGGCCCCGGGCCTTAGTTTGCCTACCCGTGAGTTGGGGCTTGAGAAGACAGGCTATGGAGGACAGAGAGGACGAGAGCAAGACTGGGTCCAACGGTCAAGAAGGCGGTTTCTACAAGTGATGTATGGAAGTGAGAGCTGGACCATCAAGAAGGCTGATCGCCAAAGAATGGATGCTTTTGAATTCTGGTGCTGGAGGAGACTCTGGAGAGTCCCATGGACTGCAAGAAGATCCAACCTCTCCATTCGGAAGGAAATCAGCCCTGAGTGCTCACTGGAAGGACAGATCCTGAAGCTGAGGCTCCAAGACTTTGGCCACCTCATGAGAAGAGAAGACTCCCTGGAAAAGACCCTGATGTTGGGAAAGATGGAGGGCACAAGGAGAATGGACGACAGAGGACAAGATGGTGGGACAGTGTTCTCGAAGCTGCCAGCATGAGTTTGACCAAACTGCGGGAGGCAGTGGAAGACAGGAGGGCCTGGCGTGCTCTGGTCCAGGGGGTCACGAAGAGGCGGACATGACTAAACGACTAAACAACAACAACAACAGAGTACAGGACGTCCCCAAAACACAGCAATTACCAAAGGATGTCAGTCCCCGACGAAGAAGGGGAGGGATGGGGCAGGAAAACAGCGGAGGAGTCTACACAAATCTGCGACGCAGGCCAAAATCTTTCCAGGATCTGTTTTCCGGAGGGATTTCGAGGCCAGCGAAGATGGTGGCCCCCAAATTTTCCACCCGTATTTCTAAATGCTAGCAAAAACCAAAAACACCCCAGTGGTCCGGAGGACGCTTGCTGTTTTCCTCCCATAGTCCTCCTTCCTTCCCCCCAGATGCAAGAACCCCCAAAAACATGTGTTTTAAAAGGGAAAGGTGTGAAATTTTCACACCGGGAGAGGAAAATCTTGGAGCTGCGCTGGAGAGATTATGGGGAGTTTCAGTCCCACTATACCTGTGAAGGATTTTATCACTTTCTCCTTCTATTTTTATTTATTTTCTCCTACTGATCAGGTGTTAAGTTATGCCGGGAAGTGAAACCAGATTTCCAAGGTGTCAGAGACATTTATTCGCTTTTTCCTTTTTCGAATGGCTGGCTTTTACGGCACCTCCATCTCTCTCTCTCTTTTATTATTGGTACTTTTTAAAACAGCTGGAGGAGACCAGAATTGCAGCGATTGAAATTGCAAACTTTCCCTCCTCTATGCCTCCTTGTAGTATATATTATTATTATTATTATTATTATTATTCCTATCCCGCCTTTCCCCCAGACCCGGGAGCCGAAGTCCGCTTGCACAAAGCAACACGGCACGGATAAAAAGCGAAAAGCTAAAAACGTATGTGACATCGCCGTTGGCAAGTAATCAAACGATAACGGAATCCGAGCAATATCACACACCAAAAAAAATCTATTGAAAATGCAGATAACGGCAGCAGTCAAAACATCAGCACGTTTTTATTTCCTTAAAAGCAGTCGGTTGGAAGAAGAAAGTCTTTATCGGCCGGCAAAAGGACAGCAAGGAAGGAGCCAGTCTGGCTTTCCTAAGCAGGGAGTTCCAAAGTTGCCTGGGAGGAGCCACCACTAATAAGGCCCTGCGACGTTCCCAACAAGGATAAAGCAGCTTTTTCTGTTTTATCTGTGTTTTTGTATTTTATCTGCAAGCCGCAGATTGAGCCCTGACCTGGACAAAAGGCAGGCTATTTTATTATTATTATTATTATTATTATTATTATTATTATTATTATTAGTGTGGCTGCCCCTGTTCTGGCCCCTGCAATCCACAATCTCAAGCCATACGTCCAGAATTTCCCAGGATTCGGCAACCGAAAGTCACATCCGTGCGAAATTTCCAGCAGCCATTTAAAATTGCTCAAAAACTGGGTGTATTTTTTGGGGGGGGATGGACTCAAGAACTTTGACCACCACCACCCCTGCCAAAAAAAAAAAAAAAAAAGGTCAATAACTTTTGTGTCCGGATTTGAACTTCCTGAAATACGGCTACCCTAACTCTGAGTATAACTGGGCTGGACTGAGGGACCGAGAATTCACAACGTTAAAAAATTGCAAGCATTAAGAACAGGAAACGAGGAGAGTTAATGTCATTTTTCAAACAAAAATTTCTCGGAAGCTGCACCAGAAGCAACAGCAGAGAATATTATTATTATTATTATTATTATTATTATTATTATTCTCCACTATTTTCCTGATGGGATTCAAGGCGGCTTACAGGCAAAAATAAGATCCCCAAAAACCAGTCTTTTAGAACATTGATGGGCTTAAAACTATACGCATCTATAAAATCTCCCAAGTTCCAAAAGCTTTCCTCGCCACATATATTTAACCCTGCGTTTATTTGAACGGAAACGTCCGCTAATCCCGGGACGTTTATAGTTCTATAAAACATGACGGACATCCCATTTATTATTTCGGCTTTTATTGCGCCGGACTAGTCCTTTAAAAGGGGGGAAGCAGCCGGATTCTGAACCAACAAATACATGTTTCGGGGGAAATATTCTTATTTTATTATATCTATGAGCTTGGCAGGTAGAAGGAAGGAAGACTGATTGCAGCCGGTTTGCCAGTCCAATCCAAGTAATTTTATTGTGCTAGCCAAGAGAATGAACGGACTGCTTGTGTTTTTTAAGAGTGCATTTCAAATACTTATTTGGCGCACTTATTGATTTAAAATCGCATGCATCACCTAGATGCACACCTTGCAAAGTACAGTGGTACCTTGGTTCTCAAACGCCTTGGTTCTCAAACGCCTTGGTCCTCAAACGCCTTGGTTACCAAACGCCGAAAACCCAGAAGTGAGTGTTCCGGTTTTCGAATGTTTTTCGGAAGCCAAACATCCGATGCGGTTGTCGGCTCTTGTTTCCGGGGCGCCTGCGCCAATCAGAAGCCGCGCCTCGGTTTCCGAACATTTCGGAAGTCAAACGGACTTCCGGAACGGATTAAGTTGGAGAACCAAGGTACCACTGTATTTGGCTCTTTGGGTTTTGCTATTCATTTTGTGTTTTTATTTCGGAGGCTTTTTTGGTTCATTTGTTTTTGTGACTGGGCGGAACCCAGTTCAGCTGATTTGACTAACCCTAACCGCTGTGGGTTAAACCACAGAGCCTAGGACTTGCCGATCAGAAGGTCGGCGGTTCGAATCCCCGCAATGGGGTGAGCTCCCATTGCTCGGTCCATGCTTCTGCCCACCTAGCAGTTCGAAAGCACATCAAAGTGCAAGTAGATAAATAGGTAGCTCTCTGGCGGGAAGGTAAACGGTGTTTCCGTGCGCTGCTCTGGTTCGCCAGAAGCGGCTTAGTCCTGCTGGCCACACGACCCGGAAGCTGCACGCCAGCTCCCTCGGCCAGTAAAGCGAGATGAGCGCCGCAACCCCAGAGTCGTCCGCGACTGGACCTAACGGTCAGGGGTCCCTTTACCCTTTTAACCCTAACGCCCGCCCAAATTAAAGGAATATGTCCAGCTGTCCTTTGTCAACAACAAACCCTGTTTTTTGTGTTGAATATATGCTATATGGTAATTGATGGACCTAATACAGGCATAGGCAAACTCGGCCCTCCAGATGTTTTGGGACTACAACTCCCATCATCGCTAGCTAACAGGACCAGTGGTCAGGGATGATGGGAGTTGTAGTTCCAAAACATCTGGAGGGCCGAGTTTGCCTATGCCTGACCTAATAGGTATCTAAAGCCATTTGCACCTAACAGATAGGAGCCGACACAACATAAAACACTGTTGCTGTATGTAGGTTTTATTTGATTTGGGTTTTTTTATCCTATATTTTGGAAATGTACATCCAGGGGTTTTTTTTCCCCCTTTAAATTTTTTTGGGGGGGCCCCAAGAGAGTGGGGCCCTAAGCTATACAATGGTACCTCGGGTTAAGTACTTAATTCATTCCGGAGGTCCGTACTTAACCTGAAACTGTTCTTAACCTGAAGCACCACTTTAGCTAATGGGGCCTCCCACTGCCACCGCACCGCTGAAGCACGATTTCTGTTCTCATCCTGAAGCAAAGTTCTTAACCTGAAGCACTATTTCTGGGTTAGCGGAGTCTGTAACCTGAAGCGTATGTAACCTGAAGCGTATGTAACCCGAGGTACCACTGTAGCTTGTAAATATGACACTGAGACCCACGTTGGGCGAAAGATTCATGCCTTCCCGCGGGGTCAGATTGGATGACCCTGGGGGTCCCTTCCAACGCTATGATTTGATGATTCTGTAAAAAAAAATGGAATAAGGTCTCCTTCCGAGACTTGGCTCTCGAGAAACACGAGAAATTGCAGTTCCGCGGATCTGACCCCAGGGATCGCACAACAGCCTGACAAGGTCTGCCATGTCTCACTCAACACAGGTTTGGCCAGGGAGTTAATCCGGCCTTCGTGATCTCGGTTAAGTCGGAGGATTTCCAGGTGTTTGCGGTCAGTTCCTAGAATGTGGGTTTTACGGGGGCAAGGGGTCACTATTGGGGTTCCCCCCCCCCAACGTTCGACGTCTCCATTTCCCGCCTGGCAAAACGGCAACGTCGCAGAAACCTAATCCCGACGGAAGCTCGTTTGGACGTCTCGCTAATTGAAGTCAGGAGGTGGAAGGCCGGCCGAAGACAACGAGGTTATGGCCTCGGGGAGAGAGAGAGAGACAGCTTACAAGACGTTCTGCATTTTGCAATTTGGGAGCGGAGACCCAAATTAACCTCTGGAACTTCCTGCCTCATGATAACAGGCGTCATCTCTGTGCTCTTTTTGGCGCAGCCCCACTTGAAACATTTCCATTGTTTGATAGCCTCTTCTTATATCAACCTTTTTTACTTTTTCTTTGTGGTCATTTTATTGTCCTGGCCTGGAGAAAAATTATTATTATTATTATTATTATTAAACTTGATGCACTTTTAAATCTGATTCCTAGTCCGTTGTTATTTCAACTTTCCAGAAGACATAAATTGTTGATTTTTCATAGGGGTTGTTATTTTTATTAATTAATTAATTGATTGATTGATTAAATTTGATGCACGTTTTAATCTGTTTCTTAGTCTGCTGTTATTTCAGCTTTTCAGAAGCTATAAATTATTGATTTTCCATAGGGGTTATTATTATTATTATTATTATTATTATTATTATTATTACTATTATTATCTGTATACCGCCCTTCATCCACAGATCTCACCAACTAAAATTACAATAAAAGCCCCCACAAAATACATCCTGGATACATTCCACAAATGGGGAGCCACCACAGAAAAGGCCCTGTCTTTCCCAGCTCTTTCAACTAAGAATCTGGAGACAACGGGGATTGAAACCGGCGTCTTGTACATGCAAAACAGGCCTTCCTCCACCTGCTTCAAGGCCTTGAAAATAAGGATTCTAGTCCTAGTGTTTCTGGATAAACAGGAACATACCTAGACAGCATCTTAAAAAGCAGAGACATCACCTTGCCGACAAAGGTCCGTATAGTTCAAGCTCTGGTTTTCCCGGTAGTGATGTATGGAAGTGAGAGCTGGATCATAAAGAAGGCTGATCGCCAAAGAATGGATGCTTTTGAATTCTGGTGCTGGAGGAGACTCTGGAGAGTCCCATGGACTGCAAGAAGATCAAACCTCTTCATTCGGAAGGAAATCAGCCCTGAGTGCTCCCTGGAAGGACAGATCCTGAAGCTGAGGCTCCAAGACTTTGGCCACCTCATGAGAAGAGAAGACTCCCTGGAGAAGACCCTGATGTTGGGAAAGACGGAGGGCACAAGGAGAAGGGGACGACGGAGGACGAGATGGTGGGACAGTGTTCTCGAAGCTACCAGCATGAGTTGGACCAAACTGCGGGAGGGAGTGGAAGACAGGAGTGCCTGGCGTGCTCTGGTCCAGGGGGTCACGAAGAGGCAGACACGACTAAACGACTAAACAACAACAAATACCAAGACTGACCTGCAGCTCAGTATTGTCTGCACTGGCTGGTAGCATCTGTCCAGGGGTGCAGGCAGAGAGATTCTCTTCCATCGTGCAAAAAAGACCTGGAGACGGAACCCAGAGCCTTCTTCATGCCAAGCAACTGTCCTCCCTCTTGCCCTTCCTTCAAAACGAGCCAAGTCTCCAGTCCTCAAGGGAATAAACGCTTTCGAGTGGAGGCCTTTCCCGGCCCGACCTCAAGATGCCAGAGATCGAACCTCTGGCCTTCTGCATGCCAGGCAGGTGTCCTCCCTCTTGCCCTTCCTTTAAAAGGAACCAAGTCTCCAGTCCTCAAGGGAATAAACGCTTTCAAACGGAGGCCTTTCCCAGCCCTACCTGAAGTCACTAGGGATTGAACCCAAAGCCTTCTGCATTCCAAGCAACTGTCCTCCCTCTTGCCCTTCCTTTAAAAGGAACCAAGTCTCCAGTCCTCAAGGGAATAAACGCTTTTGAACGGAGGCCTTTCCCAGCCCTACCTGAAGTCACTAGGGATTGAACCCAAAGCCTTCTGCATTCCAAGCAACTGTCCTCCCTCTTGCCCTTCCTTTAAAAGGAACCAAGTCTCCAGTCCTCAAGGGAATAAACGCTTTTGAACGGAGGCCTTTCCCGGCCCTACCTGAAGTCGCCAGAAATCGAACCTCAGGCCTTCTACATGCCAAGCAGGAGCTCTCCTGCCGAGCCACCCAGAGGGGGTCAAGGAAGGGAGCCTTTCGCCGAAATCCCCCAGAGAGGGCCCAGCTGCGGACGGACACAGGTGTAGGTCTGTCCCGGCACTGTCGTGGTATTCAGTTTCACTCCAAATCCTCGCTTTGTATGTGTGTTTTTTCCCCAGACAAACTTCTCAGCTGTGTGTATTTGTGTTGCGACTGTCCCACCAGCAACAAGGAGTTTTTATTGGCCTGCGCTGGCCCATCGCACCCCTTTCTTCCTGGGGGTGTGTGGTAAACCCCCACCACCTCCTTGGACAAAACTCTCACCCTGAAGAGGAAACCAAAACTTCCTGTATCAGGAGTGGAGCATTTTTGTGTTTCCCTGAAACACCAAAGAGAATCACCTCCTGTCTTTTCGGAGTGGGACGGACAAGATCCGTTCCAAGAACGAAAGCTAAATTTTGCGTTTACAACTCTCGAGGGTATGGGGTGTGTGTGTGTGGAAAATCCACTTTCTCCTTTCTCTTCGGAGGACCGAAATGCCAAATTTCGACGGCCGGGAAAAGTCCTCCTTGCAGAAACTTAATAAGGCCATCCAGGCATCTAAGGCCTTTTTTAAAAAAAAAAACAGTGGGAGAAAGAATTAAAATAAAGCTTTTAAGGCTTTTAAAGCAAATTTCCCCCCCTGTTTGGAGAGATTTCTGGCAAACAACCGAGTGATCTGGCACTGGGCCACAGTTGGAAGATGAGAGAAGGCCACCCTCACGACTTTCTAACATTAATTATTGGGATTAAAAAGAAAGGAAGAATATGTAGAGAATTTGCTTTGATCAAGATTTCTCATTGTTCTTAAGACAAAGGAGCAGGGTGGCTTTTGTGTGTGAGAGGATATGGGGCAGATTTGCCCTAGTTTTCGGCGTGTAGGGATATCTCGCCATTTCCAACTTTGCAAGGTTTACACAGGCATTCTTCGTTTCCATTCTCAAACTTCCATTTTCCTCTATTGTTTCCCAGAGATCATAAACTCCAATCAATGGCCTTCTCTTATGGAAAAATAGATATATATATGACTGTAAATCATTGTGTACGTACACCAATGACCCCCCCAAAAAAACAACAACAATAAATATATATGTTTCATGGACAGCAAAGAGCAGACGGAGATTCTCCACTATTTTGAACCTAGGGGATCCAGTGGATACTCCGCTATGCAGTAAGAAGACTGATCCTCTAGCATTACCGGGAAATTATATTATTATTCTGGAAGCAAAGAATTGCCCCCTCTCTGTGGGGAATTGCCCTACAGAAAGGTGAGGTGTGTGGATTGCTATAATTAATTATTAGGTGTGGAATATATTTTTTTAACAGGACATTTTTTGCTACAAACTTTGGCCCCAGGGATCTGTGAGGTTTGACGAAAGGTCTATTTATAAGCACGCAACACTGAAAATAAAAGTGTTTCAGGTATAAAAACGATAAATCAAGAGCGAAGCAGCAGTTTGCTGCCCCTAGAGATCTGTCTGGGGGTTATATGAGAGATACAGCAGTCCTGTGGGATTCTCTGGGGGTTTGAATTCTTTGGCGGGTGCGTAGATTTTTACTCTTATGCTCTAAGGCTTCTGGAGGGTGTACGGTAAATTGCAGGGTAGGATTGGCCCAGGATTTCATGTGCATTAGTCATTATCGCTTTGGGAAGTTCTGGGTTTTGGAGAGGGAATTGTTCTCTTCTGATGGACTGCAGTCCTCCATCGGTAGGACTGATTAACCATTTTGATTCGGCGGCAAAAGTGGATGCCAGTTTTCCACCTTCCGTTCCAAGATCCTGCCCCCCCTCCCCGAAAAAATATTGTTTTTTGGGGGTACTATTATATGGAATTTTTTTACACACGCTTATACAGGAATAAAGAACAGGTCTTGGGCCTTTTGCAGGGGTTTTATGACTGGCAGAAACTATATATAGGAAGGTTGCACGAAGGAGTTTTATTCTTACCGAAAAGGGGGAGAGGAAAAATGAATTGCAAAGTGGAAGGCGATTGCTTAAAAACAGCAGGTTTAAGGAAAAAAAGAATATTCAATATTTCTGGGTTGTAACGAGGCGGGGTTGGGTTTCAGGTTTTTAGATACTCTTTCCCCCAACCCCAAAAAAAGCAGGGAGAAATTTATCTCCAGTACATAAGGACTGAGGTCTTTGTTTGGAACATGCCACAGGTTTGATTCTGAGGTTTGGGGCATCATCTTGGCGGACCCTATCCTGACACTTTCTGGCTGTGGGTGTGTGAAAAACAGACAATTTTCTTCACCTGATTTAAAAAGGGGGAAGGCTTAACAGGATATCCAACTCAGCTCCCTTTGTTGTCTGACTTTTACACAGACACACACAATTTTTGGTGCTATCCTTTCCCCCTCCACCTCCTCTCCGAAGGATTAAAAATAATAAATAAAACATTTTTTTTGTGTATACACACACACACACACAAACACACAAACACACAAACCCCCTGGCCTGTCTTGGCCACCTACAGCCTGCACAGCTAAATTAAGGAAGACCTCACTTTCCTTTCCTCTTAACGCAAGTGAATTTCCTGACTAGGACAAAGACGCAAAGGAGGGGGGGTGTCTTTCAATATGCCCCCCTCCCTACCGGTTTTTCCAACCACTGGCATGCTTAGATTTATTTATTTTTAATGCATTTTTTTGGGAAGGGGGGGAGCGTGGGGAGAGAGGATTCCAAGCTAGTAAATAAAATAAATAAATAAACCAAGCCAGAAAGCAAACTCTTGCTGGAACAGCGGAGATATGAAGTCTTCGGAGGTGAAGATCAGATTCAAGCACTGAGGGGGCTTGCGGAAGAGATGGGGAAGGTGGTCCTGGATTTGGCGGACCCCCCCTCCCCACATTGCAACACCCCCCTCTTTTCCTAAATCAATGCCCACCCAACTTCAAAAACGCACGCCTAAGTTTGCCACGCGCAGTTACCCTGAAAGGTGGTTTATAATTTTTGAGAGAGGGAGTGAAGAAGGAAGAGGAGGAGGAAGAAGGAGAGAGGGAGGGAGGGAGATTCGGAGCCGGGGTGGGGTAAGGAATTAATCCCTAGAGGCGTTTTAAAGGGGAGAGAGAGGCAGAAGATCTTTAAAAATTGCGCTCTGTGTGTGTGTGTGTGTTTTGTTCACACGCAGAGAAAAAATCACTGCGCTTCGAAACTCCCGGTGGCGCTTTCCCTTCCAATCTCTTATTTATGGGACTTTTTGCCTGGCACGGCTAAGATTCATCCCTCCAGCCGCCCACGACCAAGAAAAATAATCAATTTTCTTGTTAAAAACAGATATTATAAGGGCTTTTTTCTCCTTCCCGAGCTGGACAACGCAGTGCCCCTCTGAAATAAAAATAAGGACACACATTCCCAAAGAAGACCCTTGCGCATCTATTTGTTTCTTAGGTGGAAGAGACTGCTTTTAAAAAAGTATTTATATAGCCACGGTTTCCTGTGCCCCCGCTCCGCAAAGAAAAGGAAAACAAACGCGCCCATCACCGTCGCCTCCGGGCGCCCAAGTCTTAATTCCCCCATCTATTGCAATTCCGGCTGCGCCAGGCGCCCATCTGCCCACCAGGAATAAAATAAACGAACAGATAGAAAGATTAGAAATTACGCAGGAGAGATTCCGGAGGGTTGTACTCACACATCAGGGAATCCACGCGGAGGAGAATCCACAGGCACAGAACAAATACTTTGTTCATGATGCAGAACATTTAAAAAAAACCCTATATATGTGAAATGAAATGGGGAGGAAGAAAACCAGTCCCTTCTCTTATTCTTCCCTGAGAGTTGCTTCTTTAAAAAAAAGCGCAGCTAGATAGATAAGGGTTTTTTTTCTGCCCCCAAAGCTTTTTTTCCTCCTCCGTTCCTCCAAAAATAAAAAAAAAGGAGAAAATTATGGAGAGACAAACAAGAGATTTCCTAAGCAAGTCTGAACAGTTCAACTTGACAAGTTCCTTAATGCGCTTTTTACACCCCGCCCATCCCCGCCCCTCTGGGCTTTTTTATTATTTTTTTGGGTGGCGGTGAGAGTCAATGAAGTTGAAATTAGCAAGTCCTTTTCTGAAATGGACCTGCAAGGCGAGAGACCCTCCTGGAGACGCGTCGCATCCTTTTGCAAGAGGGGCGTCTCTCTCTCAAAATCTCTCCACCCTAAACCCCTTTCCATTTTGTCTCCTCCCGCAAAAAAACACCTTTTTTTTCCCCTCAATCCCGCCTGTTGCTCAATCAGCAAGCTGAAAAGATCATTTCTGACTCAGGGCAATAAATACCTACTCAACTCCCCCCGCCCTGCCCCAATCCTTTTGGCTCATCTATTCAAGACTGCTTTCTTTCGTAAGGAAAATCATTTCTTTCTTGGGGAGCTGGGGAAAAAAATCTCGCAAGGAAAAAAAAGGTCTTTCTCTCTCGTGCGCAAACACCCCCGTTGTGTTCTCCGCGCAATGGCTGAGGTGAGTAATACGGGACGGGGGGGGGGGGCGCAGTCCAGTCTTGCAACCCCCTGAAACCCTCTCTGACCTCAGCAAGACAGAGGAACCGGACGCCTGGGTTTATTCGCGTGCCAATGCAGTTTGAATAAGCTTTCCAGCGCAGGGCGAAAACGTGCGCGCGCGTGTTTTTTGGGGGTATGTCTAAACTTGGTTTTTCTTTTTTCCCTGACTGAACTGTGCAGGCTTTAGGGTTGCGCAGGTCTCTGCTGCAGGCGTTGCTGAAGAGTTCTGTGTGACTTTAAAAGCTTGCAAAGTGGTTTGGCTTCCTTCCTCTTTTCCCCCAAACCCCCCACCCGAACCCTGATTCTGCTTCCATATAAGTAACCTGTCCGTCAACAAGCACCCCCAAAATTGAAAGGTACAGAAAAAGAATTTCTCAGGGTGAAATGGGTGGGGGTCCCCCCCCCCAGTATTCAGGACAATTCTGTGTCGAACTTGAAATCTACCCCCACCCCAGAGGTTCCTGGAATGGGGGGGCTCCTCTTTCTCCATCTCTCTCTTTATCTATCTATCTATAATTGGGGCCGATTCAACTTTGTCAGCTTTTGAGTAACACAGGGCTTGACGAAGAGTTCTGAGTAAGTTAAAAGGTTGCCAATTGCTTCGGTTTCCCTCCCTCCCTGAAAACCTTTCCCGCCTCCGCATAACCTCAGGAAACCTTTCTATCGGTGAGCACCTGCAAAAATAACAATAATATGCAGATAAAGTTGGCTTTTAGAATCACACACAGAGATCTATCATTGAGTCGGTAGAGCACGAGACACTTAATCTCAGGGTTCTGGGTTCAAGTTCTGCGATTTCTGCATTGCCGGGGGTTGGGCTAGATGAACCACGGGGTCCCTTCCAACTCTACATTGCTATGAGGCCTGGGAAACACCCCCTGTTTGGGCCCAGGAACTTAACTGGACTGCAAGGAATTTCCTATATAACGTTTTAAGTGTGTTGTAATTGTATTATACAAATGTGACACTAGATGGCGCTGATGAGCTAAGGGCAAATTCCATATATATTTTCAAACGGTGGGGGGGTTGTTTGTTTGTTTCAAAGAAAGCTACTCTGCTTCCAGGGATGCGGGTGGCGCTGTGGGTTAAACCACAGAGCCTAGGACTTGCCGATCAGAAGGTCAGCGGTTCGAATCCCCACAATGATGGGGTGAGCTCCCGTTGCTCGGTTCCTGCTCCTGCCAACCTAGCAGTTCGAAAGCACGTCCAAGTGCAAGTAGATAAATAGGTACCGCTCTGGCAGGAAGGCAAACGGCGTTTCTGTGCGCTGCTCTGGTTCGCCAGAAGCGGCTTCGTCCTGCTGGCCACATGACCTGGCCAATAAAGCGAGATGAGCGCCACAACCCCAGAGTCAGTCATGACTGGACCTAATGGTCAGGGGTCCCTTTACCTTTACCTTTACTCTGCTTCCAGAGCTCAGTTGCTAGAAACTGCAGGCGGGGAGAGTTGCTCTCGTTTCAAATCCTGCTTTTGGTTTCCCTGTTGGGGCAACTATTTGGCCACTGTGAGAACATGCGGCAGCTAGACTGGGGACTGGGAGCAGCCGCTGAGACCACATAAGACTGGTCCTGAAAAACCTACATTGGCTCCCAGGACGTTTCCGAACATAATTCAAAGCGTTGGTGCTGACCTTTCAAACCCTAAACGGCCCAGTATCCCTGAAGGAGCATCTCCGCCCCAATTGTTCCGCCCGGACACCTGGGTCCATCTCCTGAGGGCCTTCTGGCGGTTCCCTCCCTGCGAGAAGCGAGGTTACAGGGAAGCAGGCAGAGGGCCTTCTTGGTGGTGGCGCCCGCCCTGTGGATCACTGCAGATGGTGACAGCAGCCACGAAATTAAAAGACACCCGCTTCTTGGGAGAAAAGCAATGATAAATCTAGACAGCATCTTAAAAAGCCGAGACATCACCTTGCCAACGAAAGTCCGTATAGTTCAAGCTCTGGTTTTCCCAGTAGTGATGTACGGAAGTGAGAGCTGGACCATCAAGAAGGCTGATGGCCAACGAATTGATGCTTTTGAATTCTGGTGCTGGAGGAGACTCTTGAGAGTCCCATGGACTGCAAGAAGATCCAACCTCTCCATTCAGAAAGAAATCAGCCCTGAGTGCTCACTGGAAGGACAGATCCTGAAGCTGAGGCTCCAAGACTTTGGCCACCTCAGGAGAAGAGAAGACTCCCTGGAAAAGACCCTGATGCTGGGAAAGATGGAGGGCACAAGGAGGAGGGGACAACGGAGGACGAGATGGTGGGACAGTGTTCTCGAAGCTGCCAGCATGAGTTTGACCAAACTGCGGGAGGCAGTGGAAGACAGGAGGGCCTGGCGTGCTCTGGTCCAGGGGGTCACGAAGAGGCGGACACGACTAAACGATTAAACAACAACAAAAGTCCTCATGATTCTGAATGAAGGACTGATTTAACTTGCACCGAATAAGATCATCAGTCCACCTGTCTCAAACTTCCAGACCAGGGTCTCTGTCTCTCTCATCCCCTTAAACCTGGGATCCTCCGCAGGCCAAAGGTCTGAGCAACAGCCTTCCCCAGCCTCACTTTCCCGGGTGCCTCTGAGCACAAGCAGAGTTCTGCGCACGCACGCACACCCCTTTGCCGAGTAAACGCAGCCAGGCCAGAAAGCTGGAACACAAAGCGAGAAAAATGGCTTGAACGACAATGAGCAAATTTCCAGGAAGAAAAGGGAGTAAAATTTGGTGCGAGGCGGGCAGACAATTGTTCGTAAGGTCAGGCAATGACAGTCTCCCTCCCCCCTTTTTTTGCAAAAACCGCTTGTGCACGGTTTATCCTGGGGGGCCGGTTTTGTGCATCACACACCCACTGAGTCACCCAGCTGCCGGGAATGTGTTTTAGTGGCTATTTTCTCTTCTCTCGACCTTTCGCCGGATGAATCACCCATCCCACACCAAGCGGGAGAAATCTCGGACGAGGAGGAAAACCTCCCAATGGAGTTACTCTCTTTAGCCAGGCCTCAAAAGAGTAACCACCAGCACCCTGCTTCTAAAATAAAAATTTGAAAAATCCCCTTTTTGGGCACGGAGGGCTCCACCTCTTCCCCAGGTTTTGGTTAACGTAACTGAGATTTACTGGTAATTAAGAATTTTTATTCGGGGTCATGGGGATTGGCATTCTCTGTCCACCCCCCCCCAGGTTTGCTTGCCAGAGGTCCTGAGTTCGAATCTCCAGCATCTAGGAGGAGACAGAAACTCCGCTGTTCTCATGAGGACTAGAACTTTTGCTTCTGGTTATTTCTTTTCTAAAAAATCATATACAAGTTAGCCTTGGTGAAGACCTGACGTTTTTATCCCCCCAAAAGTTTTTGATTGAGTTCCACTGAAATGAGGCTGCATTTTAATGTTTTAATGTTGTATTTTAATCTTGTTTTTTTTTAAGCTGTATTTTAATCAATTGTTTTTTATATTTGGGTGTTAGCCGCCCTGAGCCCGGTCTTGGCTGGGGAGGGCAGGGTATAAATAAATTTTATTATTATTATTATTATTATTATTATTATTATTACAAGGATCTCTCGTGACAATTTGCACAGTCCGTACACAACTGAGGATTGCCGTCAAACAGAAGCCGAACCAAAAATAAATAAACCACAGGTAGGCGTGTAAAGTAGCGACCGGAACAATTTATAACGCAACAGTTAAACAAGGCAAGGTGATACACAATGTGGGCACTGTTGTGTCATGTGTGGGGCAGCAGGATAGCTCAGTCGGGAAGAGCACAAAGCTCTTGATCTCAGGGTTGTGGATTCGAGTCCCACGTGGGGCAAAAAAGATTCCTGCATTGCAGGGGGTTGGACTACAGAACCCCTGGGTGTCCCTCCCATAGCTCTGATTCTAGGATTCAGAGTCAATATATCAGCCAAGAGGGGTCCATGTTCCTCCTTGCTGGCAAACAAAATAAAGGGCTGCGGTTCAGCACTGGATCGGAGTAAACAGCAGCCAGGTTTTCTGCGGACGGCTGTTGGTTCCGATTTATCACGAAAGAACGGATTTTTTCCAGGGCGAAGGCAAAACTGCTTTCTAGGCCCAAGGCTGGAGGAATTCTGCCCAAGCCCTTTTAAAGTCAGGCCAAGCAGGTAGAATCACAGAATTTAGGAGCTGGAAGGGACCCTGAGGAATATGAAATAATCCTTTCTGGCCCTCTACTGACTCTCAACTTATTACTTGTTGGTTTTCCCCCCTCCAGCACAGCAATAGGCCACATTTTAGTGCATCAAGTATTAAGATTTGCCTCATCGAACTTCTTCCCCCCCACGGTCCAGTCCAATATTTGAGGCATTATTGTATTTTAATATTTTGCTGGAAGCGGCTGGGGAAACCCAGCCAGAAGGGTGGGGTGTTGTTGTTTAGTCGTTTAGTCGTGTCCGACTCTTCGTGACCCCCTGGACCAGAGCACGCCAGGCACTTCTGTCCTCCACTGCCTCCTGCAGTTTGGTCAAACTCCTGCTAGTAGCTTCGAGAACACCATCCAACCATCTCATCCTCCTTCGTCCCCTTCTCCTTGTGCCCTCCATCTTTCCCAAGAAGGGTGGGGTATAAACAATAAATTAATATAATATTATTATATATACGTCAGCTTTCCAGGTTCGTGATGGCGCAGGCCGTTTGTACGGAACTGTGAGGACTAGAAACTTGCTTCGTCTCTTTCAGGGAACTGGCCGTAGCTCAGCGGCGGAGCATGCAAGCGAGCCCCGGGTGGACATCTTGTGGTGGGGGGTTCCACGGGCGCCGCTCGACACATTGTGGAGTTGGAAGAGACCGCCTAGGTCATTTGGTCCACACACACACACTGTTCGTGGGGTGTACAACATCCCTAACAGTTGGCCAACTGTTGAAATACCAGAGGAGAGTCCCTCACTGCCTGAGGTTTAATTGGCTTCTTACCATGGGGGTGTTTAAAACGCAAGGGCCATTTTCCTATGTGTGAAGCCTTCTGGGGGCCACCAGTCTGCTGTGGCTGGGGCAAAGGGGGCTGGACTAGATGACTCAGGGGCCCCCATCCAACTCTCTGAATAAAATCGCTATACATTTAAAGCCTTTCCCCCTCAAAAAGTTCCTGGAACTGAAGTTCCCCTCTGCACCCTTAAACTACAGTTCCCAAAATTCTCCGTGTTTTTGTGTCGTGTGTGTCTGCCCCAATTGTGCCCTGGCTGCGTGCGCAACATACATCGAAAGCCCCCGCATTCACGAGCTCTGGGAGTTATAGTTGCCGCGCTACAACTCCCGGCTCCCTGAGCAAACTGGTTCTTCGGGATGGGGTGGGAAATGTGCTTTGAAAATACGGCGCTTCGCTCCCATAGCGCAAACTTGCATTTCTCATTTGGCGGTGGCGACGTTTACTCGGGAGTAAGACCCGCTCTGTTCGATGAGACACCCCACTCCTGGGTAAGCGTGTGCCAGGAATCGTGGCCCTCGCAAAACTCTTGGCTATTAGAAAGAAACATCTGACTTTGTGGCGTGACAACTCAGCCAAGATCTTTGCTACATCCTTCCTTTTCTTAAAGGACTTCTGGGGCAAATAAAAGAGGCAGAAATGTGAAGAATCCCGCAGACTTAGCGTGTTTCCCACTTGAAATCTTTACTCACTACCACTGCCAGATTAATAGCTCATTTATTAACCTCCTTTCCCCCTTTTAACTCCTTTCTCTCCAAATAGGGGATGACAAAGAACTTTTCTCTTTTTGGAACGCAGCGGAAAACCCCATTTCCCCCCACAATGCAAGGGGAGTGAAAGGGGCGGTGCCTGGAAGGGTCGAGGGGTGGAGCTATTCAGTTAGGGCTGGGGCTTTGGGGTGGGTGGGGCCTGGGGGACGCAGATCCGCCGCAGGTGAGACAAAATTCAAGAATTATCTTCATCTCCGTCGGCCAGGATGCTAAATGCAGCCTCCAAGTTCAGAAGCAGTCTATCTCTGAAGTGCTTTCATATTTCCTCTTCCCTCCCAAATCACATTCCTTTTATGCTGTGTCTCTTGCAGTTATTAATATTCCACGGGATGCATAAAAACCGGATCCTTTTGGAAACGAAGCATCGTCCGGACCCGTTAGATATTATTCAAAACTTCACCTACAGAACGTCCTTCGAAACAGACATCGACTGATGCATCCAAACAGGTCCGTAGTAAGACATACACCAGTCCGAGGCAAAGGCTCAGCATCTTATGAAATAATTCCAACAAACCGAGAAATAGAGGAGAAACAGGAGGAGTTTCCCTCCAATGTTTCTCCCGTAAAAATAGGGACGTCCTATTCCATCCCCTCCAACGTTTCTCCCCTGAAAATAGGGACGTCCTATTCCATCCCCTCCAACGTTTCTCCCCTGAAAATAGGGACGTCCTATTCCATCCCCTCCAATGTTTCTCCCATGAAAATAGAAACGTCCTATTCCATCCCCTCCAACGTTTCTCCCATGAAAATAGAGACGTCCTATTCCATCCCCTCCAACGTTTCTCCCATGAAAATAGGGACGCCCTATTCCATCCCCTCCAACGTTTCTCCCCTGAAAATAGGGACGCCCTAAGGAAAAGCGGGACGTTCTGGAATCAAGTCAGAAACCAGGACGGCTTCTGTAAAACCGGGGCTGTCCCAGGAAAACAGGAACACTTCGAGTTTCTGTGACCCTATTGTGGTCATACTTATTTTGGGAGGGAAGATAAGCGATGACGGAGCAAAATAAAAGAAAACTGGTCTTCCCGGGTCTTGACAGAAGGCCTTCAAGGAAGTGGTGCTTGGCACAGGGAAAGAGAGAGACGGGAGAGGTTTTTGTTTTGTTTGCTAGCGCACAGTGCGGGGGCGATGTGGAAAATTGCTTTATCCCTCCGAAGGAGCTGTTGTGTTTGCGTTTCCCTGCAAGCCCGAGCGGTCTCTCTCCTCATCCCTTCTAGACTTTGGATTTGGCACGCAGGTGGTTCTGGACAGGGGCCAGAGTGGAAGAACAGGGTTTGGTTTTGGGACTGTACAGAAACTGACCTCCTTCTTAATTCCCCTTTCTTTCTTCTGCAACAAAGAGCCTTCCTGGATCAGGGCCTGTGGCCCGCCTAGCAGGGCATCCTGTAATAATAATAATAATAATAATAATAATAATAATAATAATAATTTATTTATACCCCACCCATCTGGCTTGGTTTCCCCAGCCACTCTGGGCGGCTTCCAACCAAATATTAAAAACAACACAGTGTCAGACACTAAAAACTTCCCTAAACAGGGCCGCCTTCAGTTGTCTTTTAAAAGTAAAACAGTTGTTTATTGCCTTGACATCTGGTGCCACCACCGAGAAGGCCCTCTGCCTGGTTCCCTGTAATTTGGCTTCTCGCAGGGAGGGAACCGCCAGAAGGCCCTCAGGAGATGGACCCCGGTGTCCGGGCTGAACGATGGGGGTGGAGATGCTCCTTCAGGGATACTGGGCTGTTTAGGGCTTTCAAGGTCAGCACCAACATTTTGAATTGTGCTCGGAAATGTACTGGGAGCCAACGAAGATCTTTCAGGACCGGTGTTATGTGGTCTTGGCGGCTGCTCCCAGTCACCAGTCTGGCTGCCGCATTTTGGATTAATTGCAGTTTCCGAGTTAGCTTCAAAGGGAGCCCCACGGAGAGCGCATGGCAGTAGTCCAAGCGGGAGATAACTAGATGCCCAGAGGAATCAAGATAGACTGCCTGTGGCCCTGGAAGTTCCATGAAAACATAAGACAGCCCTTCCATCTTGAATCTCCCAGCGTTCAGCTTTCTCGGATTTCCATGCCTTCTAGCGTAATGAGACTGGGAGGGGAAACTTTCCTCTCTCTGTTTTCCTCCAGGCTTTTGCATAATTTCCACAAACTTCCCATTCGCCTTCCCTTTCAACGGGGAAGTCCCAACGCCTGCCGTCTTTCCTCCTCGGAGTGTCTCTCCGTCCCCAAAGGAGCCTTTCAGGACACAATTGCCAAATCACATCCTGGCCAGATCCCAGTTGTGCAATTAAAATGGGCTTTTAATGCTCTTAGGTAATAAAACCGGCCTCTCTCTCTTACACACACAAACACACACTCACAAAAAAACCCCCAAACTTGTAGTAATAAGGAAATTGACAGCGCTGCGCCGCCGAAAGGTGTGGGGCAACATTTTTATTGACAAAATGTTGCCTAACCTCAACTCAAAGATATCAAAAAGGATTGCTTGTTCAAACAGCAAACGTCATCTCACTTCGCTGCAAAATTTCTGCCAGCCTGGCTCAATACTTCCTTTCCCTGGCTGGCAGCAGCAGTGGGTCTCTATGGTTTCAGGCAGGGGGCAGCCCTACCTGGAAATCGTAGAGTTGGGACACCGTGGGGTCATCCATCCCAACCCCTCCCAATGCAGGAATCGCAATTCAGTATTGACCGGCAGCTGCTTTTGGGGCGTTCAGACGGCGAGTCTTCCACAGCCCTACCACGAGATCTTCTTCTGCAGATGCAAAGGTTCGTCCTTTAAAAATAAGCTAAGATTCTGGTCCTCAAGGTGCTGGAATAAATGGCTTCGAGTAAAGGCCTCCCCTGGCGCTACTTGGAGGAAAATTGAACCCAGGGGCTTGCAGCTGCCCTATTCGTGAGAATAAGATAATAATATTTAATCTCTGGAAAGGAAAGCCGCAAAACCGAGCCGTCTTGCCTGGAGAAAGAGGGGAGGCCGCGAGGCGAACAGACTGTAAATATTAGCCTCTTGCAAAGAGACGGGAAGGTTTTTCTTATTAAAACCCGGGCAGATTTACTAGTTCTGGAGGTGAGGAGGCTGGCAGCCCGGTCCTGCGAGCTGTGCA